CTGGATCTGATAATGTGCAACAACGATCGGCTGGTGTGCGATGTAAGCTGCGAAGCTACAGAAATGTCCGATCACAACATGGTTAATGCTCTCCTCTCTTTTAACCCTGCATTACTCGAGGAAGCTAAGCTCACGTATCTGGACGAAATGAACTTTCGGGCTCTAGATTTTAACCATACTGATTTCGAGGAACTTAACGAAGCTCTCAGTAGTGTGGACTGGAAACAGGTTCGAGGTTCCACTACCTTTGAAGAATTTCCGATAAATTTTACACGTAAAGTTCTAAACGTTTGTCTTGAAAATGTCCCAAGGAAACGACCTCCTAAAGGAAAACCGAATGTCTACAACTCGCTGAGAAGGAAGAAGTCAAGACTCAAGAATCGTCTTTCAGCGGCAGAGTGCAGCGGCGACCATGCTCGAATGAAACAGCTTGAAGACGAAATCGGATTAATCAGCTTTGAGATTAAGGAAGCTATAGTACACCATTTTGATGAGGGCGAAAGGAGAGCGGTGAATAAGATAAAAGCTAATCTGAAATACTTTTATTCCTACGCGAAATCGTTCTCCAAAGTGAAGCAAAACATCACAACTCTTCTTAATAGTGAAAATAAGCTTGTCACAGAGAAGAAGGATCTTGCGAACATCCTCCAGACTCAGTTTTGCTCAGTCTATAGTGACCCTAACTGCCCCTACAAATCCATGCCTGAATTTGCGGTGCCGCCCATTACTTGTCGAGATAAAGAACTTGTCCTCACTCTCGACCACGTAAAGGACGCTATATCGGAACTAAAGCTTGACTCTGCACCGGGACCCGATGGCATCCCCTCCATCCTGCTGAAAAGATGTACCTCTAGCTTAGCGGTCCCTATCTATCTCATCTGGACAGAATCTATGTCGTCTGGCATCGTCCCAAGCTACTACAAGACCGGATATGTCACTCCTCTCTTCAAGAAAGGTAGCAGATGTGAAGCTGTAAACTATAGACCTGTGACGCTGACTTCCCACGTAGTGAAGGTGTATGAAAGGGTCGTCAGAAAGCACATGACCCAGTACCTTGATTCTAATGATCTGTTATCGGACAAACAGCACGGATTCAGGTCAAATAGAAGCTGTCTCACCCAAATGTTGGAGCACTTTGACGACATATAATACGAAGGTTTCACGAAAGGAAATGACACCGATTCAATCTACCTCGACTTTGCAAAAGCTTTTGACAAAGTCGACTTGGATCTACTTCTTCTAAAGATGAAAAGATATGGATTCCAGGAGAAGCTCTTAAGATGGATTCAATCCTTCTTAACTGGTCGTGACCAAGTTGTTGTCGTGAACGGTGTGCATTCAGACAGCGCTAAGGTGTTAAGCGGGGTGCCTCAGGGCAGTGTTTTAGGTCCACTGTTCTTCCTGTTGTTCATCAACGACCTAGAGGACGTGGTTAAGCATTCTAGAGTGAGCTTCTTCGCAGACGATACTAGGGTTTCCAAGCAAATTAGCTGCCTTGAAGACTGCCAACTTCTTCAGACTGATCTTTACAGCATTATAGATTGGTCCCTATGTAACAACATGAAGTTACACGAGCAGAAGTTCGAACTCCTAAACCACCTACACAATAAGAGGAACTTATCAAGTGAACTTCCCTTCTACGTAGAAAGTCTCCTCTACAAGGTTTCTAGTGACGTCACTCTTTATCCCGTAGAAAACGTTAGAGACCTTGGTGTAAAAGTGTCAAGAGATCTGAGCTGGTCTAAACACGTCGGGGATATGGTCACCAAAGCTTGAAGTAAACTGTCTTGGGTGTTCAGTGTGTTTAAGACACGGGATAAAGTGGTTATGATGACCCTCTACAAGTCTCTAGTCAGAAGCTTATTGGAGTACTGTTGTCCGCTGTGGGACCCAGTCAAGACGACAGAGATTCAGCTTTTGGAGGGGGTCCAGCGTACCTTTACAAGCCGCATTGGTGGTCTATACAGCTTAAACTACTGGGAGAGGCTAGCTCATTTGAAGTTAATGTCCCTGCAACGGAGAAGGGAGAGATACATCATCTTGATGATGTGGAAAACGTACCATAACGTTGTTCCAAATAGCTGTAGCATCGAGTTTGTGGAAACATCCAGATATGGCACTAAAGCAGTTGTTCCTTCTCTATCAAAGTCGAGTTCGATGAGAAACCAGACACTGTACGATAGCTCGTTCGCAGTAAAAGGATCCAAACTGTGGAATAAGGTGCCGACTGAAGTGAAAGCCGAGAAAACGTTTGCCAGCTTCAAAGTCAGTTTGTCGAAGTTTCTTGCTTTGATACCGGATAACCCTCCGGTTTCCGGTTATACGTGCAGCTGGTCGAATTCCTTGGTAGACTACACGCCATCACGGTGGTCAGACATCTGATGACCCTTCCTGCTACGAGGATAAACCTTACCAAGTTACCAAGTTAGTTAGTTAGATAAGAAGTAAACTATTATATCTCACTCATCTATTCACAAATTCTACTAGTCCTGATAAAATGATGTTTATTAGGATTTTCCTTGACCTTCCTCTTTAAATCTAGAACCAACTGTTTATGTACTGCACGCTCCTCCGGCGACCGATCCGGTGAAATAAAGACAGTTTTAAAACACTGAGACAGTCTGAGGTCTATAGCTTTAATCAGTATCTGATGAACGGTGCTAGAGCTTCCAAATGATACTTTAACAGCTCTGTGTTTTTCAGCAGCTTTATTACCAATTCGAGCAGCTTCGAAGCGTGGCTTCTCTGCCATTTTTTCAAACACATCGCAAATTTTATCGCTGAGTTTCTCTCCTACATCCTCCTTGAGACCAAAAATCAACACATTTCATAGGGGAAAAAAACACTGAAAATTGACCAAAAACCGACCCCTCTTCCTGACCAATTTCAGTTTGCAAATGGAGTTGGAACCTCGCGATTTTTACCAGGGTAGTAGGAAAAAGACAGAAATAGAAGCCGGAAATCTCAGAATTTTGATTTAGGCTTCAAATTTTGTTTATTTAACGTCGGAAGTGAGGCAAAATTAACGTTAAAATAATGGCGTTATTTTAGCAAAGGTTACATGCGTCGTTGCTTAGCAACATCAAGAGATTGCACGTGCGCGAGTAAGAACAGATTAGCAACGCACGTTGCCATGCTCTATGATAAGATGATACGTCATAACTAGCTCACATTACAATTTCCGCTATGACTATCCATAACTTTGGTTGTGATTGATTTTTTTGATGCGGTAAAAAGTATCGATTACTTAAATAAAACTTTTATTTTATCGTTATCGGCAAATAAAAATGCATAAAATTTATATTTCGGAGCTAGATCAAAGATAGATAGATGATGTCAAGAAACTAAACATAAATGATTTTAAATCTCTTCGAATAAAGCTTACAGCTAGCGGGTGTACAGGTTTTGGGAAGTCTATGAGCTAGGTAGGCAGATAACTCAGTGTTTACCCCTTATAAGGCACAGCAGTCATACTAAAAAAAAGCTTTAAAATCGTACAAGAAAAGAAGAAAAATGTATGGTCAGGAACATGTTTTAATATTACGGCATATTGAAACTGTCCCTTTGACCAGAAATCAATACAAACAAAAAGGTAGATAACAACGTGAATATGAGGTATATAAGATGAGCTATAGGAATAAATAGATATTATGTTTCGCTCTATAAGGCAGCTGACCGAGCCCGAGTCTATACTCTATCGAGCACAAAATAAACGGAAGAAACATTTTTCCTGTAGTAAAATATACTAACTTGTTGAGGATCACATGCGATGAGCTATTCTTACTTTACATCACAAGATCCAATCATGTCCTAACATTCCTACTCAAAGTCAATATCCCATTCACTGTAATTGATAAGCTAAGATGGTACACGAAAGTCAAAACGTTTGTGAACAATGTTACGTTATCCAGCTATTTTCGTGCGAAGTACCTACAGCTTTACACGTAACGACTCACGAGGCACACTGTTCCTACTCAAGTATTGTATCCTACAAATCGTCTCTCCAGATACTATTTATTCAGGCAATACTATCGATAATATGTCTATTTATATATTAAACTTGACGAAAAATTCATAATTTCTACATTATAACAGAGCTAGTCCTGAATTTGCATTTACCACATACCAACTAAAAGTGTGAGAATGTACTACTTGACTATATAGATATTAGATACCTATTATTTCTTTTCAATAACCCAAAATGGGGTAGTGTGGCCAGTATCTTCTGGATATCAATTTGAATGATAACTATGATAACTATGATAACTATGATAACTATGATAACTATGATAACTATGCAATGATAACTATGATAACTATAGTAACTATGATAACTATGATAACTATGATAACTATGATAACTATGATAACTATGATAACTATAGTAACTATGATAACTATGATAACTATGATAACTATGCAATGATAACTATGATAACTATGGTAACTATAATAGTAACTATGATAACTATGATAACTATGATAACTATGCAATGATAACTATGATAACTATGATAACTATGATAACTATAGTAACTATGATAACTATGATAACTATGATAACTATGATAACTATAGTAACTATGATAACTATGATAACTATGATAACTATGATAACCATGATAACTATGGTAACTATGGTAACTATGATAACTATGATAACTATAGTAACTATGATAACTATGATAACTATGATAACTATGATAACTATGCAATGATAACTATGATAACTATGGTAACTATATTAACTATGATAACTATGATAACTATGATGACTATGATGACTATGATAACTATGATAACTATGATAACTATGATAACTATGATAACTATGATAACCATGATAACTATGGTAACTATGGTAACTATGATAACTATGATAACTATGATTACTATGATAACTATGATAACTATAACAACTATGGTAACTGTGGTAACCATAGTAACTATGATAACTATGGTAACTATAGTAACTATAGTAACTAATTGTATTCCCCCAGGCGGTATGGTCGTTAGAGGGAGAGATAAGGTGGCCGAGTATGTACCACGGCTTCTCAGTTTCTATGTGGATCAAACTTGTTCCACTTGCAAAAGGTTAAAAATTGCAATGAATAAGTAAAAATACTATTACATTTCAAAACGTGCAGTCGCATTAATTTTTTCGAAAACAATCATTAAATTAATGATTAATGATGGAATATGTTATTTCTATATTACATGAATACATTACATTGTATTTTTATATTAGAAAAATTTAACTGCAATATCTCAGATAAGAGCTGCGAAAGTTCAGAGACTGACAGCGAGGAAGAGTTCCCAGAACTACTGGGCTACAGAACTAGACAAACGCCCACTAACCGTCGCCATGGCAACACAAGGATAGATCCAGTACAGATACTCAGCTTTGGTCATCAGAGATTCACCTTCGTGGTGAGTTGGGAGAGGGTCGAGGGAGTTGCAGGGCTTCCTCCTCCGCATAATATAATCTGGCGGGTCGGCTGGGCGTATGAATGGGCCGGACACAGAGTCTGTGTACCCACTGTGACTCTAGTCTGGCACGGTCATTGGTCTTATTGTTAACAGTGAGGGGGGACGTGAAGTTATGAAGTATAACCAATTTATGGATTAAAATGTTTCCCGGCAGAGTTCTAAAGTGGTGAACATGTGTTTCCAAAGTAACTCACAAATTAATACTGACACATATCTGAAAGCACTTGCACTGACCAGATGTCAGTAGTTACCATAGTTACCATAGTTACTGACCAGGTGTCAGTAGATCCTACAGGAGGAGACATTATCCTAGCGTGGAAGGGTTCAGAACGACATCCTCCCCACGTGATACACCGTGTGCTGACTACTGGATCGTGGCATCACGTTGTCATTAGCTACGGGACCACTCCCAAACAACAGCGCTTCGGTCAACGCAACGGCAAGGTTACTATTACTATCGTTACTATTACTATGGAGCTATTATACTATTTAACTCTTTTTGAGTCTTGGCCTCATCTAAAATTTCCTTTTATGGAGCGAAATTCATTGTATTCTCATCTATGTAAAAACTAAGCACAGTAATAGAGTTGGAAAGGAGTTGAAATAATATCCCACCTCCCCCAGATTCTGCTGTGGGTGGACGGGTGTGCTGTGTTTGATATCTCTAACGCTGTTTATCCCCCGACCGTGCGCCACAAGACTACTTTCTCACTGGGGTCCAGTGTACCGTTAACTGGAGGCAGGGACGTGGTGATCAGTACTGTCATGCTCTTCCAGGGTGAGTTACTTTCAGTAACTTCCAGTTACTTCCAGTTACTTTCGGTTACTTTCAGTTACTTTCAGTTACTTTCAGTTACTTTCAGTTACTTCCAGTTACTTTCAGTTACTTTCAGTTACTTTTCAGTAACTTCCAGTTACTTTCAGTAACTTCCAGTTACTTCCAGTTACTTTCAGTTACTTCCAGTTACTTTCAGTTACTTTCAGTTACTTTCAGTTACTTTTCTGTAACTTCCAGTTACTTTCAGTAACTTCCAGTTACTTCCAGTTACTTTCAGTTACTTCCAGTTACTTCAGTTACTTTCAGTTACTTTCAGTTACTTTTCTGTAACTTCCAGTTACTTTCAGTAACTTCCAGTTACTTCCAGTTACTTTCAGTTACTTTTCAGTTACTTTCAGTAACTTCCAGTTACTTTCAGTTACTTTCAGTTACTTTTCAGTTACTTTCAGTAACTTTCAGTTACTTTCAGTAACTTGCAGTAACTTGCAGTAACTTTCAGTTACTTTCAGTTACTTTCAGTAACTTGCAGTAACTTTCAGTTACTTTCAGTTACTTTCAGTTGCGTCTCAGTTACTTCCAGTTACTTTTGGTCATTTTTAGTTACTTCAATTACTAGCAGTAACGTTCGGTTACCTTAAACAACTTACCTAAAAAACTTCCAGTATTTTCGGAAGTTGTAATAATAAAGAGTGTTGACTAACGCTGGCTCTCCGCCAGATTACATGCTGAACCGCAAGGAAGTGTGCCACCTCCTAGGACTGACGGCTAACACCAAGACACTGGCTGGGTGGAATGTTACTCGGTACGTTACAGCGGACCTTTACAATCCTAGCAGCCAGTATTCACTGGAACTCGAGGTTTGTTACTTTTATCATTAGGAGTTATAAAGCCCCCTCCCGGATTGCAACATTGCCATGTTACGAAAATAATTGCTGCGCTAACAAAATATAATATGCGCCATTCTTAGCAAAATATTCGCCATGTTATGATTTATTTGCAATGTTGCGCGCGATGATTTATTTGCGTTTGGGTGTAAACTGTAAACTGCGCATTCTTAGCAAAATATTTGACTCCTTATGATTAATTTGCGCCTGGGTGTAAACTGTGCATTTTTAGCAAAATATTCGACTCCTTATGATTAATTTGCGCCTGGGTGTAAACTGCGCATTTTTAGCAAAATATTTACCATGTTATGATTAATTTGCATAACATGTATACTGTACTGAAAAGATTTGAGGTGTTCCATCATAGATGTCTAAGGAGAATCCTGAAAATCAAATGGTTTTATCATGTATCTAATGTTGATGTACTTAAGCGGGCTAACATCGCCCCTGTTGATACTTTCGTACGAGCAGCTAGACTCCGATGGTTTGGCCATGTGGTGAGGATGCCAAAATAAAGAATACCCAACTATCTTCTGCACTGGATCCCAAAGCATGGTAAAAGGTCAAGAGGTAGACCTCGGAAAAACTGGTTGTCATGTGTCCGATGTATGTTCGAACTTCAGCGTTCGAACATACATCGATTCAAGTCGGTTTCAACTATCGGGCACCCTTTTAGAAAAATCTCGAAGATCGCCTGTAGAGTGATTTAGCACGCTCGGAGCTAGAGCTCGAAACTAATCAAAAATATTTATTTAGTTTAAATTTATTTATTTTTATGACTGTTAACTTTTAGCCTAAAATTGCACGAAAAATCGATCATACTACATATGTTTTGGAATCCAGAAACACTTCCTTATCCCTCGAAAGTCATGTACTACTGAAATCAACATTTCGATCCGGAATTTCATGTTATGTGTTATGACTATAGGGGATTAAGATTTAAGTCTTAACTTATCGAGTCTAATATCAAGTAGGTAACACGACTCCTGTCCAACAGCAACTCTTGTTCGACTCATGTTATATATATATAATAGTGTTACCAGAAAAAAAGGCGACTCTTGTCCGACATTGTGATCTGATCTCAATACGACACATTTCAAATTAGAGTCTGAACGGCTACTACTTTGTGTTACATGCGTCAGAACCTCCTAAGTTATTGTGCATTCGGATAAGAGTCGTCCATGGTCCAATGTCTCAAGTACTCCCTCGCATGCCTTTGGCATGCATGCGTCCCTTGATACGATTACGAGAACCCTCTCCCTCTCCCTCTCCCTCTCCCTCTCCCTCTCCCTCTCCCTCTCCCTCTCCCTCTCCCTCTCCCTCTCCCTCTCCCTCTCCCTCTCCCTCTCCCTCTCCCTCTCCCTCTCCCTCTCCATATCTATCTCTATATCCCTCTCCCTCTCACCCTCTCCATCTACAAAATAAATTGTAATCCTAATAGTGCATGTCCTATCGACATCGTCGCGTTCACATAACGAGAATTAACTTTAAATCCAAACCGAAACCCTCTATATGCAGTAACACGGCTGCCAGACAGTTGCGCCCAATCGATATTGAAATCCCCCGAATTATAATAAAAGTAAACTTTATTCAATCAAAAATCGTACGATCATAACGATAAGCAAAGCTATGAAGAATTGAGAGTTTTGAGGATGAGAAAGTTTTAGGGAGGGTCTGTGGCTTTATGCCAGACCTTAGAGGTAGCATCCTGTATAATAACAGAAAGGACGGGATCGTCCAAGCAAAAAATGAATTATCGAGGATAATATGCAATGAAATAGTGAAGATATGCATTCTTCAGAGCGGACTGTAATACCTTAATTCCCAAAAATTTGGGCAACAAAAAATTTGAGCGGGCCTCTCGCCCAAATTTTTTGCAGACCAAATTAATTGCATAAATCTTTTCCGTCTGCTAAATTTTTTGCTAACCAAACTTTTGGCATTTGGCCTGTGGCCCTGAAATCTATAGAAAGATGGCTTTTTCTTCATATCCAAGTGAAATAATATTTGAAATTTTAGTTTTCTAATCTGTCATTCATGGCTTGACCAAGTAAAAAGGCTTATATTTTAAATGAATAGAAATAACTGGAATAGCTAGCAAATGACTGGAATAATAAGGAATAATAATGAACTAAGGCAAATATCTAACTGAAATTTTAGTGGAAAATCGTTCATTTTTCGAAGAATTTGTGCCCAAATTTTCGGTCGCCCAAATGAGTTCAAATTTTCTGCCCAAATTTTTCGGGCTCAAATAAATTGTGCTCAATATAATGGCACACAAATTTTTGGGAACTAAGGTATAGTATTCGTATAAACTTTATTTTTAGATTTTGCACATTTATTTAATTTGTAATTAAAGTTGCAGGAGTGAGGAGGATCAATGATCTATTTGCGCTAGGGTGTAAACTGCGCATTCTTAGAAAAATATTTATGTGTGAACTTAAATCATGCAACTTAAGTAACAAAATATTTGCCTCCTTATGATCTGATCATAAGGAGGCAAATATTTTGTTACGCGCATTTGAGCGTTTGGCGGATATTTGGTTCTTTTGCGATAGTCAAAACGCGACAACTAGCGCTGGATGGCGACAACTAGCGCTAGTTGTCGCTATCCAGCGCTAGTTGTCGCTATCCAGCGCTGGATAACGCTGGCCAGCGCAAAATGTATATGTTCGATAATTGTCGCTGGCCAGCGCTGGCCATCGATAGCCAGCGCAAAATGTTTGCGATATTACTCGTCAGCTAGCGCTGGCCAGCGCTAACCAGCGCTAACCAGCGCTAACCAGCGCTAACCAGCCCTAGCCAGCGCTAGCCAGCGCTGGCCAGCGCAATGCCAATGTATCAAAATCAAATACTTGCGATATTACTATATACTTGCAATATTACTATTAGTATTAGAATAGAGATTCGGCGGAATGACAGGCTGAGTGCCGCCCAGTATGAGTAACTCAGTAAGTTGAGCTCCTCCCAGCTAGTAAGCCAACGCTAGCTGTATCACCCGTTAAGCTGACAAAAAATATCGAAAATATATTGCGCTGGCCAGCGCTGGCTGAAGAGTAATATCGCAAGTATATGATTTTGATACATTGCGCTGGCCAGCGCTGGTTAGCGCTGGTTAGCGCTGGATAGCGCTTGATAGCGCTGGATAGCGCTGGCCAGCGCTAGCTGACGAGTAATATCGCAAACATTTTGCGCTAGCTATCGATGGCCAGCGCTGGCTATCGCTTAGCGCTGGCCAGCGCTAGTTGTCGCTATCCAGCGCTAGTTGTCGCTATCCAGCGCTAGTTGTCGCTATCCAGCGCTAGTTATCGAACTGTTTTCTGCGATGGCCAGTTGCACTGGCCATTGTTAACTATTGCGTGCGACAGTGTCGCATAGCCAGCGACAACTAGCGCTGGATAGCGACAACTAGCGCTGGATGGCGACAACTAGCGCTGGATGGCGACAACTAGCGCTGGATAGCGACAATTATCGAACATATATATTTTGCGCTGGCCAGCGTTATCCAGCGCTGGATAGCGACAACTAGCGCTGGATAGCGCTAGTTGTCGCCATCCAGCGCTAGTTGTCGCGTTTTGACTATCGCAAAAGAACCGGATATTTTACTAAGAAGACACATTTTTCATACCACAATATTCGCCTGCTTATGAGATATTTGCATTATCGCGCGTAGCATTGCAAATCATAACATGGCGAATATTTTGCTAAGAATGGCGCATATTTTGTTAGCACGGCGATTATTTTCGTAACATGGCAATGTTGCAATCCGGGAGGGGGCTTTATAATAACTATGGTAACTATGGTTACTATGGTGACTATGGTAACTGTGGTAACTATGGTAACTGTGGTAACTGCAGTTACTACAGTTTTTATGGTTACTTTGTTACAGTTGATCTCCTATTTGCCAGTGTTCGCTAATTGAGAGAGGTAAACAGGAGAATTCAAATTGTACCTTAAGGTTTTAAAATTTATGACTGCTGGTTGCTAGACGCAGAAGTTATCTTTAAAGTTTCGAAATTTTCGATTGCTCCTCATGCCAGTAGAACCTTTTTGGCTATTTTCTTTCAATTTTAGAACCTATAAACGTTACTTTCCTCTTCTCCTTTTTATCTTTTGTGCAGTGTTTGATGATTTTCGCGGGGTAGCCTTTTTTGAGACACTTTTCAAACTCAAACACTAGTTCCTTTTTATTGCAGGAAAAACAAAACATACATGATACAAGAATTTTAAATTATATCGTTGAACATCATAAAGATTGGACAAAAAAGTTTTTAATCCAATTTTGCCCAATTTAAATTCGCCAATAAATTCGCCAAACCGGATTTTCTCCCTGTGCGTAATATTCATGCAATTTTTGCAATGGAGCAAGTTATCTTGAACCCAAATTCAAGTTCTGAGGTTCGTGTCACGGACGATGCTCCGAATGTTTGTAGTTGGTCCTGCCTCAGTTGTTATTAGAATTCTAAAAGTTTCAATCTCAACAAGTTTTGTAGAGTTTACCAGCTCGGTCTGCCAGCTCAGTCACTGATAGGGTTGTCCTTGGTAACACCTTAGTAACTCCTTAGTAACACCTTAGTAACACCTTATTAACACCTTAGTAACACCTTAGTAACATCAGCTCAGTCGCTGACAACCCACCCGATATCCACGGCAGGGTTGTCCTTGTTGAGGTTGTAGAGGTTCCAGTTGAGGATACTGGCGAATGTAACCCAGCCAAGGTACGGTAGGAGCAGTATATGGGTCCACCTCCGCCCCTTTACACTGTTGAAGAGGAATATCGTGATTACAATCAGCACCCACAGGATCACTATCTCTACAAACGCCTGAAAATAACATTAGTAACACCTTAGTAACACCTTAGTAACACGATTAAAATCTCTACAAACTCCTAGAATGATATACAGAGAAGATTGTGAGATATGAGTAGTGAGACATTCGAATAGTAAACAATAACGACTAATAACAAACCGCAAAGAGCTGTTTAGCTGTTCCAAAAAGGAAGGGCCACACAAAATTGAGAAGTAACTGTACGAAGAAGAATATCAACGGAGCAGGCTGAAATGGAATCAGTAATATTAGTAATAGTAGTAATATATCATCAGTTAGAGTTGATAATGGTGAGGGCTGCAAAAAACTGCATACACCTTAGGAACACCTTGGCTACACCTAAGTAACACCTTAATAACACCTAAGTAACACCTAAGTAACAACTTAGTAACACCTTAGTAACACCTTAGTAACACCTTGGTAACCCCTGACTCACTCGTTTAGTGAAGCCTGTTTTGGTCCACACCGCCCAGCCAGATATAGCCATCAGTAAATACAGGATAGACCACACAGGTGCAAATACCTCGTTGGGAGGATTAAAGCACGGCTTCTTCAAATTCCGGTACCTGATCATTCGAGATATTAGCTTTATCTGTGAGGCAATTAATTTCTAATTTTATGTGTTATAAGTAGTGTAGCTACTAACTAATTTTATGTGTTAAAGTTATAACTTTATTTGCTCACATCACTCACAGTCAGCCGCTCTGACATGGTTAACCACCTTCCTTGTGTTGTTGGTTAATCATATGAGCGGAATATAAATACCTCATTTCATTTCATTTTATGTGTAAAGACTTAATAAGAAGTTATAAGTCGCTGTTCATCACACAGAGGAAATGTAAGACTAAGATATCACCAAGCTAAATAATGATATTACTTAGTAATTAGTAACACCTTAGTAACACCTTAGTAGCACCTTAGTAACACCTTAGTAACCGAAGTGTAAGATCTCACCACGGAGAGTCGTCCCCGAAGTCCTTTGCCATAACCACACCCCCGATAACCCCTCCTCCTCCCATGCAGAGGAGGAGGAAACCAGCTAACCCTGCCACATTGATCAGGATCTCTTTTCTGGAGAGACTCCGGAACTTGTCCATCATGCTCACTTTACCCATCCTATCTGGAGTTACATGGTTACCATGGTTACGGTGCGTCAACGAGTTTACGCCTATAAGCACTGTTATCAGTATGAAATAAACCAATCTCAAGACATATAGGAACACAGGATATATTGTGTAGATATGCATCTTACTGTGTGTAGCGTAGAAAAGAGGCAATTTTATAAGCAATAACAGTAATAGCGGTGGAGCTATTTTACTAGGAAGATAAAAATGAATCTATTTAAAGAATCCCAATAACATGAGGGTGGTAGCTGGGCGCTGGGTAGACTGACCTGAATTTTCAATTTTTCGTCCGATCATCTTGGAAATTTTTTTGTACATCCCCATAGACGTAAATAGTAACCAAAAAAATTATTTTTGAAAAATTCGGAAATTAAGGTGTGCCCCAAGCCGTTTCCATGACAACCGCGCTCGCGAACCTCAGAAATCTGGAAAAATTCGATATCTCAGGACCCATTGCACCTACAGAGCTAAAATTAGGCTTAAAAGATGCGGAATCAGCACATTTATATGAGACTTATTAATAAACATATAGCCTAAAGTGCTCACTTTCGTCAAAAATTGCAAAAAACACATTTTTTGTACATTTCCATGGCAACCGCGCCCTAAAATTTGGATGTGCATCTCTATTTTTCAGTCAAACTATGAACAGCTCAGAACTACAGGGGGATAACTACAGGGGGAGAACTAGAGGGGAGAGAACAGCTCAGTACTACACCTGAGGAAGAACTACAGGAGGGAGAACAGCTTAGAACTACATAATTCTGAGCTGTTCCCCCATGTAGTTCTCCCCCTCCTCTGTAGTTCTCCCTCCTGTAGTTCTGAGCTGTTCTCTCCCTGTAGTTCTGAGCTGTTCTCTCCCCTGTAATCCTCCCCCTATAATACTTCTGAGCTGCTCCCCCTGTAATTCACCCCCTGTAGTTCTGAGCTGTTCTCTTTCTGTAGTTCTGAGCTGTTCTCTCCCCTGTAATTCTCCCCCTATAGTACTTCTGAGCTGCTCCCCCTGTAATTCACCCCCTGTAGCTCTGAGCTGTTCTCTCTCCATGTAGTTCTTTTGAGCTGTTCTCCCCCTGTAGTTCTTTTGAGCTATTCTCCCCCCTCCCTGTAGTTTTTCTGAGCTGTTCCCCCATGAAGTTCTGAGCTGTTCCCCCTGTAGTTACCCCTCCCCTGTAGTTCTCCCTCCCTGTAGTTCTGAGCTGTTCTCTCCCCTGTAGTTCTTCTGAGCTGTTCTCCCCCTGTAGTTCTCCCACCCTGTAGTTCTCCCACCCTGTAGTTCTGAGCTGTTCTCCCCCTGTAGTTCTTCCTCCTGTAGTTCTGAGCTGTTCTCCCTTGTAGTTCTTCTGAGCTGTTCTCTCCCCCGAAGTTCTTCTGAGCTGTTCTCTCCCCTGTAGTTCCTCTGAGCTGTTCTCTCCCCTGTAGTTCCTCTGAGCTGTTCTCCCCCTGTAGTTCTCCCACCCTGTAGTTCTGAGCTGTTCTGCCCCTATAGTTCTTCCTCCTGTAGTTCTGAGCTGTTCTCCCCCCTGTAGTTCTCCCACCCTGTAGTTCTGAGCTGTTCTCTCCGCTGTAGTGCTCCCCCTGTACTCTGTAGTTGTGAGCTGTTCTCTCCCCTGTATTTCTCCCTCCTGTAGTTCTGAGCTTTTCTCCCCCTGTAGTTCTTCCTCCTGTAGTTCTGAACTGTTCTCCCCCTGTAGTTCTCCCACCCTGTAGTTCTGAGCTGTTCTCCCCCTGTAGTTCTCCCTCCTGTAGTTCTGAGCTGTTCTCCCCCTGTAGTTCTGAGCTGTTCTCTACCCTGTAATTCTCCCACCCTGTAGTTCTGAGCTGTTCTCCCCCTGTAGTTCTGAGCTGTTCTCTCCCCTGTAGTTCTCCCTCCTGTAGTTCTGAGCCGTTCTCCCCCTGTAGTTCTCCCTCCTGTAGTTCTGAGCTGTTCTCCCCTGTAGTTCTCCCTCCTGTAGTTCTGAGCTGTTCTCCCCTTGTAGTTCTTCTGAGCTGTTCTCTCCCCTGTAGTTCTCTCCCCCCCCCTGTAGTTCTGAGCTGTTCTCCCTCCTGTAGTTCTTCCTCAGCTGTAGTACTGAGCTGTTCTCTCCCCTCTAGTTCTCCCCCTGTAGTTATCCCCCTGTAGTTCTGAGCTGTTCATAGTTTGACTGAAAAATAGAGATGCACATCCAAATTTTAGGGCGCGGTTGCCATGGAAATGTACAAAAAATGTGTTTTTTGCAATTTTTGACGAAAGTGAGCACTTTAGGCTATATGTTTATTAATAAGTCTCATATAAATGTGCTGATTCCGCATCTTTTAAGCCTAATTTTAGCTCTGTAGGTGCAATGGGTCCTGAGATATCGAATTTTTCCAGATTTCTGAGGTTCGCGAGCGCGGTTGTCATGGAAACGGCTTGGGGCACACCTTAATTTCCGAATTTTTCAAAAATAATTTTTTTGGTTACTATTTACGTCTATGGGGATGTACAAAAAACTTTCCAAGATGATCGGACGAAAAAGTGAAAATTCAGGTCAGTCTAGCGCTGGGCGCTGGCACATTATAGTCTCTTTCTTTATCAGACCTCATACAAATATCTCGTAATGTATCATTAGTAAAATAAAATCATATCACGCAGACACGTATCATTAGCTATTAAGTATTAAATCATATCATGAATCATTAGCTAATAAATCATATCATGCATTAATATCAAAATCCGATTAGAACTGAGTTCTCCAGTTCATAGCTTCGTGCTTGTATCTTATAGATAACTGTGACGTAAGATAAGACTCAGTGAGCACGTAATAGTAACACAGTGAGCACGTAACCATGGTAACAGTAACACAGTTACACAGTGGTTTCATTCCCTATGTTTCAGTCTTACGACCACACCCCTATTTATAAATTTTCCCATTTTCTGGTTCACATTTACTCCTAAATTAAACAAGATTAGCGCATATGAGTTTTGTAAAATAAGCAGTTGTAGATCTGCATCAAAGTGACACCTGAGTAACTCCTTAGTAACACCTTAGTAACACCTTAGTTTTGTAAAATAAGCAGCTGTAGATCTGTATCAAATATTTGCCTTATGTCCGTAGGTTCCTACACTGTGTAGGCTCTTACATACTGTAGGCTTATAGTTATACACTGTTCAAACTGGACGCTTGTTTCTTAAATTATGCATACAACAAAAAACAAAAATTATGATATTTAATATAATTAATTCAATTAATGTAAGACAACTCTCAAATCTATAATAAACAATGTTCTTGATTTCTCTGATACTATAGCTGACGCTGTGAGGTTGTGGTCAAATATTATAGCCAACAGTGAACAGTATAGCCACTGGCTATACTGTTAGTCATTAGGGATCATTCATAAAAGTAAGCCAGGTATCCACCAGTCTGAACTGGTTGAGCCTGACGAACGAACTGAGTCTCAGCTTGTGAGTATTATATACTGACTTTTATGAATGACCCCTAATGACTAATAGTATAACCAGTGGCTATACTACGTCACTAGTATCGCTAATATCGCACAATGTGCGTCCTAAAATCATCTCAATTCTTCTTGGCTGTCTGTGTGTAGTCTCCGTACCCTTCTTCAATCAGCACTATAACAAGGACTATTCATCAGTTTATTTTTTGTTGAGGTCCCAAAGTGAGAAGTTGAGAACACTAGCGAAAGTGACCCAGGCAAGGTAAGGTAGAAGGAGTAAGTGGGTCCAGGCTCTGTCTTTAACGGTGTGGAATATTACTATTGTTATACAGATCATCACCCACAGGAACATGATCTCCACAAACGCCTGAAAAATCAAAAATATGCGGTTATTTTTATGCGGTTAAAAGATCATTGATACTCATTTTTATGCGGTTATTTAGAGTTTAGATATCGGTTATTACTTAGTTTCTCTTCAGTTCTTGTTTTTTTTTCAACATTTCAAGGTTTGGATTAAGTCTCCAGTCCGACCATACCTTAAATTACAAGAATATTGAGTTATAGAGCATAGTACTTACTGCTCCAAGATCTTTTGCGATGCCGAAAATTAGAACCCAGAGGAAATTCAGCACCAGTTGAATGAAAAACACAATCAGTGGGAGCGGCTGAAATAAACTCGTGTTAAACAGCATAAAGAAGATATTGATCGTCAATGTACAATTTATAATGTACAATGTACAATTATAAGTAGGTTCAAGATAGATAAATGTACAATTATAAGTAGGTTGAAGATAGATTTACCTAATTGTTTACACTTACTCGTTTAGTGAATCCAGTTTTGGTCCACACAGCAAACGCAGCTATGCCCATCAGTAAATAGAGAACAGACCAAACAGGTCCGAATAGGAACGAGGGAGGGTTGAAAGACGGTTTCTCTAGACTTCTGTACCTGATAGGTTAACTGTTAGCAAACTTGATCAGAAATACAAATGTGCGGCACTGGCATCAAATAAAAGTTGAGGTACTTGAAAAGAAAAAGCAAATTATTTTTGAACGTACGAACATCCAAAAATAAATTGAATGTGCCAAACTCATTGTTTTTGTCTATATTACCCTATCTGGTGGGAATAACCATAATCGGTTTTTGTGTATGTCCCCTTAAATTAAAAGTTTTTCTCACCATTCTGATTCGTCCCCGAAGCTGTCAGCAGTTATAGCTCCCATAATGCCCCCTCCACCCATGCAGACCACTACAAACCCGACCAGTACACCGCAGTTTATAGCCAACTTTCTTCTGGGCATGTACCTCAACTTCTCCCAGTTAACCTTCTCCAGGTTCACATCATCTGTTTTATCCATAACTCCTCTGTGGTTCCTAGCAGATGTCAGATTGTCAGATTTAGAATAATCTAATTATAAAACTTGAATAATATAAATCCAAAAAAGAATTTTGCAAGTTCAGTAAAACGCAAAGTAGCACAACTTTTATGAAATGTTTGGACACAGTTTATACATATTATACAACATACATTTTCAACATAGTATACAAGAGTAGTTCTGCTAAAAATGTGTTGGCTAATTGCCAACTGTAAACTTTACCCGGATGTTTGCACTTTCCCATTGTTCTGTGAGACAACACTGTCCTGACCATGGGTCAATGTGTTAACTCGAACCACAGTCATCAGTACAAAGCAAAAATGCAAACAAATCTCAAGTTACAGGACTAAAAAATGAATGATGAATAATCTGTTTAATATGTTTAGCAGCAAGCACACAATGATTCATAATTATCGTTACAAACAAGGTCACACACATATGAAATAATCTGTTTGCTGTACGTGTCTGATGTTTAACGACGTAACAATTGTCAATACGTTGGTCGGTTGCCAAAGAATTGAGATTGTATACAATACAAGATTGTGTACAATGAAATATTTACAATATTGTATACAATACAAGATTGCTTACAATTGGGATACAATACAAGAGTGTGTACATACTTCGTACAATATTAGATTTTGTACAAATCAAGACTGTATACATACAACAAGAAGTTTTGTTAAAGTTGAGGGCAAAGAAAATTAGGTTTACTAGGAAGACAAAGTTGATATGATACGTCACACTATTTACTCTCTGACCTGACATGGTCACATACAGGATAAATATTACAAAAACAAACATGCTAAAATCATCCTCTAAGAATGGAAGTTAATCAAGACAAGGAATATCAGACTCAGCTCTGTGGCCGTGTTCCATGAGATACCAAACCATTGAAATGTTAAACCGTTAATTTCATGATTCATTTACCGTAAAATGATCTGATATAATCTGACAAACGCAACTTGACTTCCAGCCAACTTCGAGCCCATTTTGCGCTTATCTTCATTTTAGGGTCACATTTATTCCCAGAAAATGAGCTGCACTGATTGAGCATATTCATTGCAATATGAAAGCTTCTCAGGGAACTGTTAGATCTGAACTGGGGTCAACCAGGCTATGTATGGCAAAAGGAGCAGGTAGGTCCATGCTCTGCCTTGGACAGTGTGGAAGTAAAGCTGAAAGTGTGTTTATACTCTCTTGCTCTGTAAGTCTGTAGCCAGGCAACAGAATCAGCGCTGTCCTACAATAAGCTGCCAAGCATTATTAATCTCTATTCAAATCGTAGATGGAGTAGCTAACAACACTAGCAAATGTTGTCCAGGCTATGTAGGGTAGAAGGAGCAGGTAGGTCCATGCTCTGCCTTGGACAGTGTGGAAGATCACCATGGTTAGAAATATCCCCACCAACAGCAACATGATTATTACGAACGACTGAAAAATGAAACGGTTGTTTTAAATATTATTACTATTATACTTTGTGTAGTATCATATAGGTTATTTCCATTTTAAGGCAACAAGTCTGGTATCATAATACATAATGATTTGAATTCTGAAGTAGTTAAGGGGACATATACAAAAATCTTTTATGTTCTGAACAGGCTGTAACTTCATATTTAGAAAGTATACATTAAAACAATAAGATTTGATACATTAAAAATTATTTTTGAGGAACCGCACTTTCGAAAAAATAAATATTTTCTTTTTCGAAAATTTTGAAAATTTTGAGAAGTCTGTCACTGTTATACCGATATTTCAATCGTTTTTAACTTTTTTTGGCTGATTTTTTTCCTGAACATTATTTGCAATCCGTACGAGAAGCCCTTTAAAGGATTTTATAATTAAAATATAGATGACGAAGTTACAGACCAAACAAGGTCGAGAGAAGCAAAATTGAAATTTTTGTAAAAATCAAAGTTGTATATTTTACCATTCACCCAGGTCATAAGATATCGCTTTAAAAATTCTTGTGAGTGTAGCTGATGATCATATCCAACTTTTTGGAACAGGATTTCTCTCAGTTTTGAGTTTTAAGGTATGAAATGTGGCCTAAACAACTTAGTAAAATTCATCGTAAAAAAGGGCCAAACATGGCAGATTTAACTCAAAAAGTATCAGTTTTTTTGAAATAATTTTTACAGAATCGTAATCAGCTTGAAAAGACGAATCTTTTAGTACCAAATAGGTGATTTTAGAAGACAAATTGTCTTAAATAATTTTCCAGCTCGAACACAAGGGTCCCCCCTTGTATAAATTTTGTACAAATTGTACACATTAAAAAAAAATGTTTGTGTCTTTAACTATTATAAATTTGGTACTAAAAGATTTGTCTTACCAAGCTGATTACAATACTGTAAAAATTATTTCAAAAAAACTGATACTTTTTGAGTTATAGGCATTTTAAGCCTTAAATCTGCCATGTTTGGCCCTTTTTTACGATGAATTTTACTAAGTCGTTAAGGCCACATTTCATACCTTAAAACTCAAAACTGAGAGAAATCCTGTTCCAAAAAGTTGGATATGATCATCAGCTACACTCACAAGAATTTTTAAAGCGATATCTTATGACCTGGGTGAATGGTAAAATATACAATTTTGATTTTTACAAAAATTTCAATTTTGCTTCTCTCGACCTTGTTTGGTCTGTAACTTCGTCATCTATATTTTAAATATAAAATCCTTTGAAGGGCTTCATGTACGGATTGCAAATAATGTTCAGGAAAAAAATCATCCAAAAAAAAGTTAAAAACGACTGAAATATCGGTATAACAGTGACAGACTTCTCAAAATTTTCAAAATTTTCGAAAAAGAAAATATTTATTTTTTCGAAAGTGCGGTTCCTCAAAAATAAGTTTTAATGTATCAAATCTTATTGTTTTAATGTATACTTTCTTAATATGAAGTTACAGCCTGTTCAGAACATAAAAGCTTTTTGTATATGTCCCCTTAAAGACAATTTAAATGAAATTATCAGTTTTCAGTTAGACTTATTATATGAAGCACTTACTGCCCCAAGATTATTTGCGAGACCGTAAACTAGAATCCAGAGGAAATTCAGTGCCAGTTGTATGAAAAACACTATCAACGGGAGCGGCTGAAGTAATTGTGCGTTAAAAGACAAATCAGGAGAATTATTATCGTCAATGAAGAAGTAGGATTAAATTTAAAACATGTAGATCAGTTACTTACTCGTTACCTAATTATAAGTAGGTTAAAGATAGATATAAGTTACCTAATTGTTTACACTTACTCGTTTAGTGAATCCAGTCTTGGTCCACACAGCAAATGCTGCTATGGCCATCAGCAAGTAAAGAACAGCCCAAACAGGTGCAAACAGGAATGAAGGTGGGTTGAAAGACGGCTTCTTCAGATTTCGGGACCTGATTAAGATATTAACTGTTAATCCTTGAAGCAATTCTAAATTTTAAGAAACAAAATTGTTCAGAAAAAGATGTCATATTTTTTAAAGGTCGATACTGCATTTACTGGCAAATATCAACTCTCCTAATATAGTTAGCTGAAATAGAGTCAGCTGGACTAGGAGTAATGTGTCTCACCATTCTGAATCATCTCCGAAACTATCCGCAGTTATAACACTCGCATACTCACCATTCTGAATCATCTCCGAAACTATCCGCAGTTATAGCGCTCATAACCCCACATCCTCCCCAGCACAGGATAATAAACCCAACTAGCACGCCTATATTTGTTAACAGCTCCTTCATTGACATCCTCCTCATCTTCTCCCAGTTCGCCTTCTCTAAGTTTACCTCTCCTGGTTTATCCATAACTAGGTACTGTGATTACAATCAAATGTCAGCATCTCAGACGAAATAGAAACAAATAATGGCTGTGATTTAAAAATAGCTCGATGGTCAAAACTAGCAAGTTCAGTTAAAACTATTGACAAAATCTTCGCATCGTTGCAAATATTGCTAGCTCAGAAAGAGAACATGGTTGCTAATCAAAACATAGTTCCCACATGTTTCTATTGTTAAAGTATTACACTGTCTTGACTGTGGGTCCATGTATTTAATCTCATCGGTACAAAGCAAAAACGATCACAAGACTTAGGACAGCAAAATAAATAACGGATGATCCTCGTACTATGCAATATTTGTAGTATCAAGCACGGATTAGATTATTAATAACGACACGAATCTGATCACGCACGCCAGAAAAAAGCAATTTACGTGACTGATATTTCAGTACATGTAATGTACGTGACCGATATTTCATGATATGTAACGGTCATCACGATCGTATACCAGTGTAATGAGATTTCAGAGTAATGAGATTTCATACAATACGCGCGAGTATCAGTAAAACCGACTGTTGAAATGACAAATTACGTAGAATCTTAACACCTGTATTGAACTGTATTGAAGTTAGAGGAAGTTGGCGAGACATGGAGTAAAACAATCAAAGTTTACGAAAGCGATCAACTTACCAAAGTATTCAGACAAAGTTAATTTCATTACCACGGCGCCTACGTAAACTACTACCGGTTTCTCCCTAAAGATGAGCACAAATACACACAAATATATATGCTTCTCGTCCAAACCCCTAAGGGAGCTAAGAGCAGTTCAAATACAGTATAATATATTATACAAATGCCCACAGCCAACGTGACCAAATGAATAGGTTGTATTTTAGGACACTGGAACGTGACCAGATGAACAGGTTTTATTGTTGAACGTGATCAAAATAACTAATGAACAGGTTTCTGCGAGACTAAAGAACTATATACTGTCTCAGATTGAAACATGTTAGAAACCTGAGACTGGTATTACTCCAGACCTTGCAATTTAATTAGGTTATTTGAACGTCACCTCAGGCTGGAAACTGTAAAACTATAGAACGTTACGAGGGTGACTAATTTCGTAGTAATAGAGAAAGTTTCAGTAACAGACGAAACGAAACGAAGCACAGAGAAAGTTTATTTTTACACCGAATCAAATCATATGATCTAAGTACATCAAAGAAAATTCTCTGAATCTAGGATTCACGTCCCATGATTCACTTATCATCTAATTATTCGATAATTTTTTATCTCGTTTTGTGATCAACCTATTTATAATATCTACTTAATATAAGCTTTAGGTCAGTCTATAATTTTCTTAATGACATCTTTATATCATCTTTATGCTATCTAAATTTATCTTTTTAAATAACGCTCAACCATTAACAGGTAACGAACTGTTTCCCCTACTATCAAGCTGTAGTGAGTGAGGCTCTGGTTAACAATGGGTTCGACTGTGCCCTCCTATCTGCTCACGCTGTTACAATCACATCCCTCCGCAATCATCTCTTGTTGACATGGTTACCGGAAACTCCTGAGATTCTTCATCAGTACTCTCCTCTCAGTCTCTACTCTGCTGGTACAATATACTTTAATATAGCTAGCATGGAAAGAATCAACCATTCAGCTGTAGTCTGTATTCCTCTTCAAATTAAATCAAATTTCGAGACACTTAACAAAAATATCCTGTCACAAACCCACCAGTTTTTCTTCTGTTTATTCCTTTATTCCCACACTCTTCAGATCTAAAGAGTGTTGGACCTGTACCTCCACATGACTTTGTGAGCGCACACAGACAGTTAAATCAGACCAGTCCTGCTAAAATGGTAAGTTCCAACAATCAACTAGCCAAACTCAACTTTCAAATAGCTATCAACCTCCCCCAAAGCCGTTGGATATATTCTCTGGCAACTCAAGGAGAATCCTACCAATAACCTACCGTTATTTAATTTATAAATAAACAGTTTAAAACTGGACCTCAGGGTGTGATCACGATGTACAAGATGCCAGTGCTACTACCGGTCCTAGGAGGAATCAAAGTACTCCTTATGTTATTTGCTAGAGTCGTCGAAATGAGCGCTTCTGAGGATATACAGGTTTGTACTCTTTATACACACTTTGTTTATAAACACGGCACTCCCACCCGCGAGCTGATTTTAATAAACAAAAGACAAAATAACTATATAACAGTAATTAGAGAGACTTGTTAATAGCAGTAAATATAAGCTATTCGGCGATGAGCACTAGAAAATAAGCACTTGTTGCTCTAAATGGATCGTATCCCAAGCTTATGCCGTGGCTTTAATGCGTAAAGATTCCTACTGAAAGGTATTAGCTACTCGGAGAAATGTGTCCACTTACCAAGTTTTATTACTCTCCATATTTGGCGAAAAGTAAACCGATAAAGCAGGGTAATGTCTCTACTGCACTAAGTTAATATGAACTAAGTGTTTGTAACAGAAAAGTCACGATAAGTTATACTTATAGATCTAGATGGGGATACTGGAGGGATAAGTTATACTAATAGATCAAGATACTGGAAGGATAAGTTATACTAATAGATCAAGATACTGGAAGGATAAGTTATACTAATAGATCAAGATGGGGATACTGGAGGGATAAGTTATACTAATAGATCAAGATACTGGAGGGATAAGTTATACTAATAGATCAAGATACTGGAGGGATAAGTTATACTAATAGATCAAGATACTGGAGGGATAAGTTATACTAATAGATCAAGATACTGGAGGGATAAGTTATACTAATAGATCAAGATGGGGATACTGGAGGGATAAGTTATACTAATAGATCAAGATACTGAGGGATAAGTTATACTAATAGATCTAGATGGGGATACTGGAGGGATAAGTTATACTAATAGATCAAGATACTGAGGGATAAGTTATACTAATAGATCAAGATACTGAGGGATAAGTTATACTAATAGATCAAGATACTGGAGGGATGCATTTATTTCTGCCACTAGACAGGAATTTAGGGATTAACCGATCAGCTCCTAGGATTGACAAATCAGTATCTTAAATAACTATCACGCATCAAATCACTAAAACAAGGCATGAGACAAATTAATGAATCACGCATCAAAACACTAAAACAAGGCATGAGACAACTTTGTCGCAAAGTTTTTGTTTGCAGCAAAATAGACAGACTCTGCGTTTCAACTAAACATTTGCATTGGTTGATGAAAGAGAGTGGTATTCCCTGAGGGTCAGCTTGATAAGCTTTTTAAACGATTAGTTGTGAAATCCGTTAAAGCAGAGTATGAGATAATTGATCGAAACGTTATTAGAAATTGAAGCATGTTGAATTGAAACAAAGTACAAATACCTGCATGATAAATGACAAATTTTGCGAGCTAGAAATAAATACTTCTGTTGGATGTATAACTGTATAACATATCGTTACACATTAGAATGTGGAGATTCTTTCGAAAGGGACCCCGGCAGTTGAAATCAACCTGATTTTGAGTTTCGGCTGATTCCAAATCACCCACATTTTAAGGGGTATCAGTTCTTAGTTCTTACCTGACTAATTATGGCTGATCACGTGAGTATATACAAATTAACATTAGATAAATTACTCTGCACTTTCTCACCCCTCTACTGCCCAGGTAATGTCCCTAGACCTGCTGCTAAAGAACTTGTCCCACCCTCCCCTACTCTGTGAGATGGTCTCTCTCCATGGTTACGAGATGCTAGCTCTTGTTCTCCGGAGTCAAGGCTGTGTTAAATCCACCGCCCTTCTCAAGGTTTTACGACTGTTTTCTTTTTGATAAGTAACTTTTCCTGGTGCTCAGGTTTCATTTTGTGTAATTGTGCTCACCCTGTTTACATTAAATTGTTCAATATCAGCTGATATTGGTAATAGTGATCTTCGGACAATGTTCTGTGAAGATGCTGTTTCCATCCCTCCGCAATCATTTTGACATGATAACCGGAAACTCCACTAGATACGCGTATAAACACCACATTACCACCAGGTGCTGATAAACGCTACAGTGGACGGAGTACTTCTCGTTAATACCCCGAAGGGAGAACTCAGGGCAAAGAGCAGCTCTACAGCCGTTGTGAAGAACATGCACATCTTGAAACACATTCTCATGGATTGGAAGATTTGGCAGTCAGCTCCTATTCGAGGTTAGACATGTTTAGGAGTAAAATCATCAGATTAATTGGTTGAAAACTACCTGTTCTGAGGGCCTGGGGTTGAGTTTAATAATATTTGTATCCGATAGTCATGTAAAATTGTTAAATGTTCACTGTGACGTTTTATTGTATTACTTAATAATTCCCTCAGTCTGGCAGATATGTTGTGAGTGTCTGGAGACATTGGTCCGACCTTCTCACCCTAACTACTCCTACAACACACAACAGTTCACCTCTTTTAAAATCACCAAAGATATTCTCAACTTCTCGTTGGTTAGACTCAATTACAGTTTCATTTCAACACTTCTATAAACTCCCTTCTCCTATTATCAGGGAGGTCAACACTAAGAACCTTTGTTTAACCTCTAAAGCCCCTACATTAACCCACATCTCAGATATACGAGCTGACCCACAAGGGTGAACCTCTACCTCGATCCGTTATATCCTCTCTACTCACTACTTTATACTACATGTTAGGATATCCTGCAGACCTACAGGTTAATCTTATCTTCTATATAATAGTTTTAAAGTTTTAAAGTTAAGGGAATAGAGTCAGGGACAAAGTTAAGGGAATAGGGTCAGGGACAAAGTTAAGGGAATAGGGTCAGGGACAAAGTGAAGGGAATAAGGTCAGGGACAAAGTTAAGGGAATAGAGTCAGGGACAAAGTTAAGGGAATAGGGTCAGGGACAAAGTTAAGGGAATAGAGTTAGGGACAAAGTTAAGGGAATAGAGTCAGAGACAAAGTTAAGGGAATAGAGTCAGGGACAAAGTTAAGGGAATAAGGTCAGGGACAAAGTTAAGGGAATAGAGTCAGGGACAAAGTTAAGGGAATAGGGCCAGGGACAAAGTTAAGGGAATAGGGTCAGGGACAAAGTTAAGAGAATAGAGTCAGGGACAAAGTTAAGGAAATAGGGCCAGGGACAAAGTTAAGGGAATAGGGTCAGGGACAAAGTTAAGGGAATAGAGTCAGGGACAAAGTTAAGGGAATAGGGTCAGGGACAAAGTTAAGGGAATAGGGTCAGTAACACTGTCTATCTTCAGCTGTTACGTCTGGTAACCAACCTCCTGATGACAGCTCACCTTCGTAAGAATGTGACGATCACTGGAGTTCCCCTCCGCAAGAGTTTCTTTGCTCCTCTCAGGATCCACAAACCCTCCACTACTCGTGAGTAGGATTATCTCTTAATTATGCTAATGTTATTATGCTAATGTTTATCTACTTTAAAAGTGTTCTGATCATCGCAACAGTTCACTATTGCTTGGTCGATGGTAATCGATTAACTTTGCTATGATTTCAGTTTCACAAATGTCAAAGAGTGAAGCCCAAAGTTCAGACTCAACCGACACTGACATGTCAATAATAGCAACTCCTGTCTCAGTTAGTTCTTCTGACAATAACCCTTCTGAGATTGCTTCCGAAAGTGCTCCTGAAAATGTACCTGAGAATGCTCCTGAAAATGCTCCTGAGAATGCTCCTGAGAGTATCCCTATTGCTGACGACTCCGTGGATACGGTGGTGGAGGGGGAGATGGATCTGGATGCTGGTTCTAGTGTGTGGTCTAGAGGTTAGTAAAGGGGTGTAGGAAGCGGGGGGGGGGGGGGGGGGGGCCGGGGGGGGGGGGGGGGGGTAGGGGTTAGTGGCGCTCATTCGTCTGATCCACCGTGGAAACTACTTTCTTTACCACTATCGGGAATTGACTTTTACAAGCATTTCATCAAATTAAGTTGGCCCTCACTGTCTATAATACTTTATAATTGCAATGGTCCTAATTTAAATACCGCCCCCCCCCCCCTGTATGGCTAATAGTTTCCTCCTCTTAAATCCCCACTTCCTGTGTAGGGTTGACTGTATCTCCTGTAGGGTTAACAGTTTCCTCTTCCTCCTCTACTGACATGTCCTCTAGACCTCCCTCTCAGTCGTCTGACAGCGACTTTACGTTTAAACCCCCTGCGGAGGATAGAGCGGACAGGTAGGCGGTGTAAAATCCGGATTGGAATATTATTTATGAATCGCATTGTTGAAATGTTTTCTTGGGTAAATTTCTATTGATCCCGTTTGATGCGACAAGGAAAAGGCTCTTATCAGGAAGGTTTTAATACTTTCAACACTACTATATAACAAATTATTTGAGATCATGGATACGATGTTGTCACATTGAAACGCTGAGTAATTACTTTCCTGATAAGAGCCTTTTCCTTGTCGTATCAAACGGGATCAATAGAAATTTACCCAAGAAAACAGGTAGGCTGGTGTTAGATAAGTTTATAAAACATGAAAATGGAAAACTTTACAAGCAGAGATTTGTAAAAAGGAACACTGCTGTACTTGTAGAAGCTAGAGGGGGGGGGGGATCTAGAGTGCAATAATACGGTTTGTTTTCAGGGTTAGTATGGTGAGTGGGAACAGTACGATATCAGATGCGGGCTCAGACAACGTGGTGCGTTGTATTTTTATACCTTATTATTTTTATAGCCTATTATCTTTATAGCTTATTATCTTTATAGCTTATTATTTTTATAGCTTATTATTTTTATAGCTTATTATTTTTATAGCTTAGTATTTTTATAGCTTATTATTTTTATAGCTTATTATTTTTATAGCTTAGTATTTTTATAGCTTAATATTTTTATAGCTTATTATTTTTATAGCTTATTATTTTTATAGCTTATTATTTTTATAGCTTATAATTTTTATAGCGATTGTTCTAAGCTAAAAGCTTTTGCTTTACATTGGGAGGGGATCTTTAATTTTTGAAACTTTGAAATACAGAAAAAGACAATAGGTAGCTGGTAGGTACTGACTCTATTTCTCCGCAGTTCCAGACGGACGGTACGGCCTGCAACACGCAGTATCTAAACTCACTCTGTGACAAGATGCTAGGTTTGTAACTACCTTATCAGACATAATTGTCACGGACATTACTTTCACGCTGAAGACCTTAGACACCATGATCACTATGACTTTGATTCTACAGTTCATAAAAAAAGTAAAACACCGAAAATTTTCACAATTATTTGGAAATTTTTGACTGGTCATGAGCGTGGCCGTGAATAATTATGTCCGTGAAATTCATATTTATTTCAAATATTTTAAGTCAAAATAACCATTTCACAGAAGTGGTTTTATTATAATAAAATAATTTGTGATATGTGTACAAGTGATAAATTAATAAATTAATTTACACTAAAAAATGTACAAAAAATACACAATTTTTACTTTGCAACACTGGTTCAGCGCGCGGCTGATCAAAAAAGTGTGGTTTACATTTACTAACTACAGTGTACAGCGTACATGAAAAGATAACTTACTGAATTGTTTAATACTAAAGTCTGACGTTGTTCAATGAATTAGCCACGAAAATATTCAAATTGTGTAAGAGGGTAAAGGACACAATTGCTAGTAATGCTTCTTTGTGCCCGTTGACTACAATGAACATTTCGCGGAGTTTCTCCAGACGGCTTTTATCGGAGTGCGGGTTATTTACTAGGATATGCACAAGCCATCATTTTTTTTGTTTTTGTGTCAGCCGCGCTACCAGGTTGCAGAGTATGTTCAATATTTAAAAAATCATACACATTTACTAATATCAGAGTCCAATCTAGCTGCAAACGTTAGACACCACAGTTCAGCCACCAAGTACCGTTTAAGTGAACACCGAGACACGAGGTTTAGGTGTAATTTTGTAAATCACTTTTATGGATGGATGATCTAGTAGTTGTTGTAGAAAATCTGATATCTGAGTTATGGCATCAATAATAATTTGAACGGGGAAGGGGCAGGGCTAGTGTATACATACATGCTAGGATCAAAGCCAGGGCTAGTCCATAATCCATATATGTTAGGGTCGAGACCAGGTTTAGGTTAGGGAAGGCCCCAAGCAAACTTTCAGCACAGAGTCTTCTTTCAATATTGTATTTTTTTTAATGATTTTGAATATTTAAAAACGTATATTTAAAGATAAGATGGTTATTGATTAAAATATTATGGAATAAATCTTTCAAAGAAATAACTAACCGGTATCAATTCTCCGTCCTATGGCATAACTAACAGAAGCCTTATCACTGTTTGTAAATTTGATTCTAGCTGCATCCAGACCCCACTGTGCAGCACACTCTTCCAGGGTACTGTCGGAGAATTTATACTCCGCAACTTCAACACTGTTGCATGAAATTACCAGTGTGTCTGATCTTTCTGATATTCACCAAATTTTGTTCTGCTCCTCTGGAATTTTACCCGAGAAGCTTTGCCACGTTGGTGCATCTGAGCATTTACCAACACGATATGTGTATTCATTTCCACTGTTCAAACGAATAGACACACCACTGATTTTCTCGTCATTTGTCGCGTCGTGGATAGTGACTATAATTTTCTCCTCGGTTTCCCAGTTGGCATCATTAGATTTTATCAAAAGATAATCTTTTTCAAGATCCACGTTGATAAAGGTATTCTTGGTCACGAGGGTGAAAATAAGGCCTGCTTGAAAATTATACTTAGTATTTTAAAATTATTTTACTCTAAAGTTTGAGCCCAATACATAATTGAATACCACGCCCCAACACAGACCTTGAATCAAGCCAGAAAATATTATTTCAGAGCACCACGTTATGGATACATATTTCTTGAGGGGGGATGACGAGGATAAATAACTAAGCTCACCTTTAATAATTTCAACACATCCAACAAGCAAGACCACGAAGATGATTAACTTGAATCTCTTTCTGCAATAAAGTGTAACAATTCTTCCCGGCAATAAAAGATACGCGTATTGAAGGTAGATATATCGGAAATGGGAGACGCACTCTACTGAATGGTCTAACCTGTGCCAGCACGTGTGTTAAAGTGGATCAATTACCCACGTGAAATATACCAGACAGGTAGAGAATTAATTAATTGTGATATCTATTGTTAAAATTCAGCTTATAGCATGGTGTTACTGGGATGTTGCTAGGTGATAGAGGGAGAATTAGTTGGAAATTTAACAGTTTTCCTGATTTTTTTCATTTGTAATTGATTAATTAGAGTCTGTATGGTAATTAAGAATAGAAAAATTGAAGGCTTAATGAAACCATTAAATAGAATAACGAGGTTACAACGTTCTTAACACCTCCATACCATCCGCAAATCAAGCACAAGTGCTTGTCCTATGTGCAGTGACGGAGAGGAGACTGTCTAACACTGTCTAGGACAGTGTCCGGCTATTGCCCAAATAAGAGGTCAATATTTCCAGGACTATTACCTCTCCGTCAATGACATATTCCGGATTCCCCATATTCGACAATCAACACATCTTCACCATTTTCAACTTTGCAAACCGCCCCAAACGCTTAATTGTGCCAAAGGAGCTGGACCATACCAGACTGGTGTGACATAGCGACTACTCACAGGGGACATAAACCAAAACCTTTTTTTGCCGGGACCCGCGATTTGACTTCATATTATGAAAATATAGATAAAAACAATAACATTTGATACATTTAAAATTTTTTTTGACAGTACGCACTTAAAGTACTAAAAGTTTCGTCTTATCAAGTTGATTACGATTCTGTAAAAAGTATTTCAAAAAAACTGATACTTTTTGAGCTATAGGCATTTTAGGCCTTAAATCTGCCATTTTTGGCCCTTTTTTACATGAATTTTACTGAGGCCAGATTTCATACCTTCAAACTCAACATTGAGAAAAATTCGGTTCCAAAAGGTTGATATGATCATCAGCTACACTCACAAGAATTTTTGAAGCGATATCTTTTGACCTGGGTTATTGGTAAAATGTACAACTTTAATAGTAGGCAAAAATTTCAATTTTGCTTCTCTCGCCCTTGTTCCGTCCGTAACTTCGTTATTTATTGTTCGATTATATAATCCTTCGAAGGGCTTCTTGTGCGGATTGTAAATAATTTTCAGTAAAGAAATCAGCCAAAAAACTTTAAGAATGATTAAAATATCGGTATTACAGTGACAGACTTTACCAAATTGAAAAAATGTCCAAAAAGAAAACGTTTTTTTTTTTCGAAAGTGCATACTCTCAAAAAAAATTTTAAATGTATCTATGTTCTTATTGTTTTTATCTATTGATGCTTTTCATACAAATTATATTTTATCCGGGCAAAAATGATTTGGTGTATGCAGGGACGTAGCCAGGATTTTTTTCCGAGGGGGGCCTGACTGAAAATTTTCGGCTTTTATAGTACTTGCTTGAATAAAATCTACAATGATGAATTAATGCACTAGTATCGATATTCAATTTATAAGAAGTCGGGTTTAAATAATTTTGAGGGCAATATTATCCATTTATAGCAAGTGTGAACAGTCAATTATCTGAAAATATCATAAATACCTACAGTTCACACTACTCAGTAACTGAAAAACTTTTTACTCATTACTGACTACCCACATTATTTTAATGTTAACAAATAACTTTGAACTTACAACAGTTTTTTCCAACCTTGATTTGTAACCATTTCCAATTTTTTGAGGGGGCCCATAAAATTTCCGGGGGGGAGGGGGGTGTGGGGCCAGACCCCTTGCCCCCCCCCCCCTGGCTTTATACACTAGCCCGGTTCATAAAACAAAAATATTATCCAATAATTACACTACACATCTTACAACACTTACCATCATCCTATATTACACATTCTGATTCCTCCGGCATCCTCCCATAGGACTGCCATACCCCAGAGGTAGGCTAAGCATCCACCCAGGCCCAACCTCTCTAAAAAAACGTTCTTAATTCAAAATTCTCCAGGATTATAGATCTGATAATCGTCAATTGATATCTAAGTTAAGTGATAAATAGTAATTGAAGGAATGGGGGAGGGGAGGGGCGGGGCGGAGGAGGTATTACTTATGTTAGGATTAAAAAATTGGTCATGGGTTGGGTTGTCATGGCTTATTTAGGGATAGTGTACATTTACATATGATTGTGTAAATCTTTCAAATTAAGAGCTTACCGGTATCAATTCTCGGTTCGACAGCGTAACTAACAGAAGCTGTATGAGAATTTGGAAATTGGATCCTAGCTGCATCCAGACCCCACTGTGCAACACATCCTTCCATAGCACCGTGGGAGAATTTATACTCCGCAACTTCAACATTGTTGCATGAAACTACCAGACGATCTGACCTTTCTGATATTCTCCAAGTTTTATCCTGCTCCTCTGGAATATTACCCGAGAAGCTTTGCCACGGCATTGACTGGTCTGAGCACTTCCCCACACGATACGTGTATTCATTTCCGCTGAAGAGAAGAGCGAAAGCACTGATTCCCTCGTCATTTGTCTCATCGAAGATCTTGACAAAAACCTTTTCCCCGGTCTCCCAGCTGGTATCATCAGATCTTATCAACAGATCCTCCTTCTCTAGATCCACGTAGATAAAGGTATCTCGGGTGACTGGGGTGAAAATAGGGCCTGGAGAAATAACATGATGTTATGTAATGATAAACTACATCCTAAACTCTGTGACAATCTGAACTGTAATATCTCAGCTCAATACTACTATACTAGAACATACTTTAAGCTAGAACGTTTCCTCCCCCTAATTACTAATTAGAAGGTGAAAGTGGGGGGGGGGGGGGCGGGATGAGGGGAAACCTCACCTGTATTTCCATTACATCCAACAAGCAAGACCACAAATATGACTAACTTGAATCTCATTCTGTAAGAAAATAATTTATCTAAATGATCAAGATTAATGTCACGCATTTAACGACACTATGGAAATGGTTCACTATGGTAAAAGAAACTACGGTGGAGGACGCTAGTGAAACTTTCACAAATGGGGGACACTACGCCGGAGGACGTTAGTGAAACTTTCCCACAAATGGGGGTCACTACGCCGGAGGACGCTATAAGTGAAACTTTCCCAAATGGGGGACACTACGGCGGAGGACGCTAGCGAAAGTTTCCCAAATTGGGGTCACTACGGCGGAGAACGCTAGCGAAACTTTCCCAAATGGGGGTCACTACGCCGGAGGACGCTAGTGAAACTTTCCCAAATTGGGGTCACTACGCCGGAGGACGCTAGGAAACTTTCCCAAATGGGGGTCACTATGCCGGAGGACGCTAGTGAAACGTTCCCAAATGGGGGTCACTACGCCGGAGGACGCTAGTGAAACTTTCCCAAATGGGGGTCACTACGCCGAAGGACGCTAGCGAAACTTTCCCAAATGGGGGTCACTAACCCGGAGGACGCTAGTGAAACTTTCCCAAATGGGGGTCACTACGCCGGAGGACGCTACTGAAACTTTCCCAAATGGGGGTCACTACGCCGGAGACGCTTATAGTGAAACTTTCCCAAATGGGGGACACTACGCCGGAGGACGCAAGTGAAATTTTCCCAAATACGGCGGAGCCACATAAACAACTCTGTAAACGACAAAACTGGTGCTTGGTTGCGCTAAACTGGGTCCCTGGCCCCAGACCCATACCCTGCTCTCCTCAGATAATACCTCTCCTAGGACGAGTAGAAGTAACGAGTAGTAGTAGTCTCATAAGAGACAAGAGTGAGGAGTAACGAGTAAGATGGACCCGCAATGTTGTACAATAGCTGCTGATCTGATAATATGGAGGCCCCGAAAAAAGGGGCGCTATTTTTAGTAGACAAGGACAGATTCTATTATTTTAGTAGTATTAAAAACTAGATCATTACTCTGTTGAAGCAGGGGTTGTTGGTGCTCGTTAACAATAGGTATGGTCTGCCCACAAAATTTTATTGTTATGCTCATGTTATGCATACTATTAGTATGCATAACATGAGCATAACTATAACATTGGCAACGTCTTTTATGGTCAGAGTTATATTCTGACCACAGCGCCCTGCGTGTCCCTTCGTCCAAGATAGATTATACTTTGTTAGTCTTCTGGGTTTCGGTGACGAAGGTCTCTGCTTCAATAGTCAGAGAGGTGCCACCTAAGAGAAATGAAGCTCATATTGAAACAGGAAAAGTGTGTGAGTGGTGTTACATAGTTATATGGAGCTGTCCAATATTTTAGGGAAAGTGCCATAAAAGACAAAGTGAAAATGACTCTAAATTTAATTGTCTTGTAGTGAAGATCTCTGAGTTAAGAATTTGCTAATTATCTCACTTTAACGGACAGTTGGCATGGTCGGGCCCATGTCAGCAGTGTGGGTCGGGGTATTAGGGTTAGGATTAAGGTAAGGATTAAGGTAAGGATTATGGTAAGGATTAGGGTGAACCTACTCATACGAGATAGTAATAGTTACAACGATTGTCACGCGCTTGCTCATCTCAAGTTTGGCCACATTAAAAAACGATCCCAGTTTCCTATTAAAGTAGGTTAGTGTTACCATGACAACATGTCCTATTAAGTATTGAGATCGTTACCTTGATTTGCTGGTAGCTGATAGCTGACAATATTCAGCCCGTTACTGTCGATATTAATGTGTTCTGTAGTTACACCCATACTCATAGTTTGACACCGTTCTGGGTACTGTGGTATTGAGACTACCTCCTTTGGCGCCGGGTCCTCGCTCGCCATGTCCTGAAACAGATTCGTCAAACACAAGCAGTTCGTCTGATAATCAATTTAGAAAACGACTAAATTATCGATAGAGTCATCTAATAACGCGTTCAGCTTCATAAGTGGAATAAAGAACAATATTACTCCAAACCTTGCAGTAAACGGAGAGACTAGTCTGTGATTTAACAAACTCCCAAACAGTAGTAGTGCCTTTACAGGGAGAGAACTTGTCCTCTCCGTAATTGTAAGTTTTGCAGTCGTTTATCATTAACTGGTTTTCTGGTGGATTAGAAAATATGTTATAAAGTCAGAGACATATTTCTAAGATATTTTTGGAATTTTGCCAATGATCATTTCTTTCGAGTCGTTACCCTGAAACAACAAAATTCAATTTCAACTAACTGTTTAATTTGAAAAGTAAGCGAATTGGAGAGGGGTTTTCTTTGGTGAACAGCTTCACTGTCAATTGTTTTAAATCTGAACTCTTTGAACCAATCCAAGTTGTATGTATTTTAATATATGTGACGTCTTCTTGCGGGACTGTTGCGATATTTTCTATTTCTGTTGAACCAACCGTCTCCCAGTTCCTCCAAATCCTAGTCCACCCTATACGACGACATGTGTCAGTAATAGATCTATACTCTATAGCCTAGTTAAATAAACTTAAGTAAGGTAATGAGGATAAACAATAACGACAAGGAAACGTTCACTAAAAATAAAACAAAAATCCTAAATAACTTGTACTCACTGGCTCCTTCCGCTTGCAAGAAAAGCATCAAATATAGCAAGATTGGGAGGTTCATTCCTAGTTTGTTATCTCTGCGTCAGTAAATACTAATAATAACTAATAAAGAGTTAACGTTTAAAGCAGTATAAGTAAGGAACCTTAGTTTACAATTAGGTTTAGTTGCAGTATTTAAGTAAGGAACCTTATTTTACAATTAGGTTTAGTTGCAGTATTTAAGTAAAGAACTTTGATTTACAATTATATTTAGTTATTAAACCCCTCCCCCTCAGGTCAGTTCATGAGCAATAAAGACATGCGGGGGTATTACTACAGTCTTACTAATGTACAGAGTGGACTAATGTCGCTCCTGGTGGAGGTCATTAAGACAAGCAACGATGGAACTCTCCGACGCATGTTCAAGGTATTAATTATAAATATTCAAGTTAATAATTATACATAATATGTTGGTTAAGTCTGTGACAACCTCAAACTTACATATTATCTTGAAGTTAATTAAATACGCTAAATAATGACTGGGAATGATTAAATGTTTTTTTAACAAAAGAAATTTAACCTTGGTGGACAAAGTAGCCTTGCTTTACCATGCCTCAAGGTTAGTGTTACCATGACCACATGCCCTTAAAAGCGTAAACAACGAGCCTGTTTGTTTTAAATCATTTTCAATCGATTATTAAATGATGGGGCTTGCTTTGTTGTCCTTGTCCTATCTATCAGTTAAATATGTACAGCGGTACCAATCTACTGCAGAGTCAAAAAGAGTCAAAAAGAGTAAAATGGCCTAAATGAAAAGTCAATTGTATTATAGATATATTCTTTTAAATATCTCTGCTTTTGGTCTCTAGAGACCGCGGATTAATGAGCTTATCTCAATATCAATAATATAATATTAAATGCTATTTGACAACGTTATATGGGGTAAGACTAAATCTACAGTGATCCTATTTATCATTAATTCTAATTTAAATATTCTCGTAATTATTAAATATTTTAAATAATTTAATATTCTCAGGGCAACAGTAGTGTAATAGAGGTCGAGCAGGTCCTGGTCCTAATGAACAACGAGAATATCCTAGTGAGGATAGCCAGTGTGAAGATGCTCAATGCTATGATCAGTCACGGCTCCACTCATATCAAACAGCACTTTCTCAAGATTAACGGTTAGTCTCTAACAACAGTTTACAAACACAAGGAAATGTTTTGAAAAGATAAACTGTGGAAGCTGGACAGAAGAGGTGAAAATAGAGTTTGTTTAAACTTAGGACGGCCGTTGTGGTCTTAAATTAAGATATGATAGATTGAATCTGCGAGTGTTTTTATCTACGTGTATCATAAGTAAAATCATTTGTGACTCACGGATGATCAATATACTCTAATTAATTAACTAATCTAACAGGTTAACTAATTAGCCTATTTTCCACCAGGTTACCATCTAATGGCATGCCAACTAAGACTACACCCATTATCTTACGAGTTAGTACATGCAGTAATGTGTCTTTACGTTCCCATTAAGAGCAACTTGAAAGGTAAGACTTGATTTATTTATTTATCAAAAATATCTTATAAATTCTTTTGCGTAATATCTGTGCTTAATTACCCATCTAGAGCAACAACTCTATTGATGTAGAAAAATATGTTCAGTCTACAAATTTCAATATTGTAGAATTATGGTCCTAAATTAATAATTAATGTTTTTTGTCCGTCAAACTATAATGGCATATCTTCAGAGGGACTGTCAGCCACAGATTCAGCTAGAGACGTCAACTCCACACCAGAGGGGGCCACTCTAATCCTGTCTCTCCTCGAGAACAGTCTTCTTATTGATGGTGTGTAGTTTGTGGTTTACCTGTTCATTCAGAAGTTCATAGCACTCGAAACCGCAAACTTTAGCCTCTTCCATTCTCCAAACACTGGTGTTTGGTTTGATATTCGGATTTCCATGTTGTTAGCGGTTTGCAGCAGTTTCTATCACCCTCTTTCTCCACAAGAATACTCTTGCTTCATAGTAGCAATAACAATAAAAACACTCATATATCTAGCAATCACTCCCCTACTGTTGCTTCATAGTAGCAATAACAATACAAACACTCATAAATCTAGCAATCACTCCCCTACTGTTGCTTCATAGTAGCAATAACAATACATACACTCATTATCTAGCAATCACTCCCCCTTACAGGTTTGTTTGGAGACATGTTGAAGATAATCTCCCAGATGATGATGTCTTGGGCAGGCTGCGCTCTTGATTTCCTAAACTACGGTCTTATCGACGCTCTCTATCACGTTATACCACTCATGAACCCTAAATCTGAGGACTTCAGTCCTAACTTCCATTCTTTACAGGTCTGTTTGATAATAAACAGTACAACTTTTAAGATTTAAGACCCTCAACCCCTCTTGGAAGCCATTTTAGAGTAACATTAGAATAAGCGTTCAGAGCAATTCTCCTTCAAGGATGTTAGACAGTAGACCTGTGTGAACGATTCCCAGCCCGTTTTAGCACATCTAATTGAAGAAAGTCATGCAACTTTATATCAAATTAAAACACAATAGGATTTAAACGATGGCCCGCTTAAATTTCTATGCATACCAGTTGCCCTGATATGTTAGTTTGCTTTGTATATCGACCCGAGTTTGCTCACCAAACTATGTATAATTTGTATATTTCAAAAATATACATTTGGTCAACCACTGGGATAACATTCACAGCTAAACAAAGCCTTCCTCTCTCGCAGATGCTGCTCCAGTCCCTGACTATAATCTCACACTGCGTGACCGCTGCTCACCACATATTCGACATGGTGTGGAGTCTGTGTTTCCGGCTGCTCCAGGAAGCAGACCTGGATATGAGTGGAGTGTGTGAGAGGCTCTGTACCAGTGTGCTGCGGTGTGTGGTTCACTTTTACAGTGTGGATAACCACGTCAACAATTGTATCAAGGTTAGTGTTACCATGACAACATTACCTTATATGGTCCGACGCTGCCTTATTTATCAGCTTTTACTGATAATCCTGTTATTGCTCGATGTTGCTTTGACTAGTCTTAAAACATTTTCATAGACTTTACTTCATACCAGAGTCTCTGGAAGCCTGATGTTTCAGGAATTACTAATTAATTTTTGTTAACGCATTCTACCTCCCCAGAACAGTAACAGTGGAAAGTTAGCTCGTCTAGGATCCAGTCTGAAGAACCTAATGGGGGAGGTGCCTCCGGAGGAGGACATCAAGCCAGTGTTTGATCCTGGGGTCTTCTTTAAAGACGATGTGTTCGTCAACTCGGACAGTGCTTATAACAGAACTACATCGTGAGAACTTAACATTCATTTTATATAAGCTTGCTTATTTGTGATGGTGAGTCACCATTCAGCTTTCAGAAGCGCTTTGACAATGAAGGCGCTTTGGTACCCTATCTTTCAGTTCTCAGTTCTGCTAACCTCCTCCCCTCAGGTTATCAGACCTGTCTACCTGGTATGTAGGATTACTGACAGTTCTAGTGGACTACCTTCAGCACCGGGCTCTAACCTGTGTAGAGGTGGTGACCGCTACTGAGGACGACTGGACCCTCCTCTCCGCTGATGACAGGTTTCTGGGCTGGTTGTTGAGTACCGTTGCTGTAATCAGTAGTGGTATTGGTAAATTGAGGATCACTAAATAATTTTACCCTGTATGGTGAGGAAGTTGAAACCCCATTTAAATTTGATTTATTACGTCTGACAAGACTGTTAAATTAATGAGTCTCTCCAATAAGCAGTGGCGAGGGAGAACAGCAGTTTTGTCGGGATATATTCGAGATCCTGCTCACCACAACTGTCAAGTGTTACTTTGAGAGGAACTCGGACAAGATGTCGACTTTTATACAGGTATCAGCACATCACACATCGCAGCGATATAACCTATACGTCACCACATGTGAACTCTCCTTTCAAGAATTTGATGACCAAAATACACATTGTATGCTTCTACCTAAATCGAACGTTATTAATCGATAATCACAACTGAACCCCACTTCTCCCAGCTGGGGTCCCTGAACAAGGAAAAGCTACGCGGAGCACTAGCTCGCCTCATCCTGATCCTCTACACTCCCAGATTAGAGAGATTCACTTGTCTGTTTGTGTTGAGGTCACTCAGCAGACCGGGTCCTGTCAGGCTCCTTCCTTTGCTGGCTAAATCAGACAACAAATTTTTTACCAGGTACACACTACACAAGCTTCTACAACTAATTCATGAGCAAGGAATATTTTTAGGAAATGGTGACTTATTTTTAACTGGATGTCTCGACCTATGGTGAGCCGAGCTTTGTAACGATTATTTATGATATTTATGTAATTAATGATGATAATTACGTAATTAATTAATTGCCCCGGTGTCAGGATACACGCGTTCACACTCTACCTAATGACGGACAAGGAACCACTCAACCCCGAGTGCACTTTGGCTGCTGGCAGTTTGTTGGAAGTTTGCCAAGAACTCAACTCTAAAGCTCCCACTGACATTATCCAGCTTATACACGCTTGGAATGAGCAGGTGGGTCAGATTCAATATTCCAATCAGTGACTTTTCAGGCTCGCTGTTAACTTTATAATCTGTTTGGAAATATGAAATGAATTCATTAACATGATCATTGTTTTCAGGAGCACAATTATCATCAAACTTGGCTGACAGCCAGAGAGCAAGGTTCCCAGAAGATAGGGCAGCCGATTGTTATTCTCAACAAGTCTGTTAACGTTCAGGCAGAAATTATCACTAACACCATCTTCAACCTTCAAGGTGGGCTATCCTACCAGCCATACTTACATTCATATCTTTAAAATAAAATTGTGAGGCCTTATGCATGAATCTACTTATTTGAATGTGAATTTCACAGACGTTTAAGTTTTAAAATACAACTCCTTTCTCAGGAACCCTAGTTCGGGAGTTCTACTCACAATGGCAACACCACCGTTCAACGAAACACGACATGCAACAACAATGGTACAAGATAATCCTGAAGACCACGCACAAACACGGAGTATGGCACGACCCGGACACTTACCCGGACAGCTGGGAAATAGACAGCACAGAGGGTCCGGGCGGGATACGGAGACGACTCAAGAGGTGTCCTGTGGACATTCCTCTCCAGTTCCTCATGGATAAGTCTCACTACAAGTTCGGGCTGGTCGATGCAATGCCGTTTGAGTTCCTGTTCCAGAAGAACAAGACTCGAGGGAACGTGAAGCCCCAGTTTACTCTGGTCTACACTAACAAGTGTACTCACATCAAATCAGCCGGGACGACTGAAGGAGATATCCTGCTGTATCGTCAGTACATGTTGTTTGTCCGGGACGAGAGTGCCAGTATTGACACGGTGTCCCAGTTAGTCGGGGATGCGCTTGGAATGTACTGGAGTCTGTTAGACGTGACAGAGGTCCACAAGAGATGGTACAATCTGAGGGACGTAGCAGTGGAGATATTCCTAAACACTGGCCAGACTTACCTGCTAGGGTTCGGCACGACAGAGGAGCGAGATGAGCTCCACAACAGACTCCTCCAACTCAACCTACCCAACTTAGTGCACCACGGGGACCAGAGGAAGGAGATCCGGAGCATGACACAGCGGTGGCAGGAGGGGCACGTGACTAACTTTGAGTACCTCATGCACCTCAACAAACAATCTGGGAGAAGTTTCAACGATCTGATGCAGTACCCGGTACTGCCCTTTATACTAGCCGACTACACCAGCACCACTCTGGATCTCAACAATCCCAACACCTTCAGAAACCTCGCTCTCCCCATGGCTATCCAGGACCCCAAACTAAAGGATCACTTTGTTCAGAGGTACGAGATGTTGAAACGGGACTTCGAGAACCAGAGTGAGGGAATAGACCAGCCTCTAAATTCTGGCACTCAGCCATATCACTACGGCTCTCACTACAGTAACTCCGGCATCGTGCTCCACTACCTGGTCAGACTGCTTCCTTATGCTAAACTATTTATAGAGTTTCAAGGGGGATCGTTTGATATACCAGACCGAACATTCCACGCGATGAAGACAACTTGGAGACTTGCCAGCAGCGAGAGTACAACAGATGTCAGGGAGCTTATCCCCGAGTTCTTTTATCTCCCAGAACTGTTCCACAACTCAGAGGGCTTCAGATTTGGGGAGAGACAGAACGGAAACACCGTAGACGATGTTTTGTTACCCACGTGGTCTAATGACGACAGCAGATTATTAGTTCTGACACACCGCATGGCACTTGAGTCGGAGTACGTTTCGCAGAACCTACACCATTGGATAGATCTAGTGTTCGGGTACAAGCAACAGGGAGGAGCTGCTGTCGATGCCATCAACGTGTTCCATCCCTCCACTTACTTCGGGATTGATGTTGAGAAAATAGAAAATGCTCTTCACAGAGAGGCAATGAAGACCATGGTCCGAACCTACGGTCAAACCCCCAAACAGCTCTTTAAAGAACCCCATGTGACCCGCAATGCAATGGCCCACATCCACAGCAAGCCCCTGACAACCAAGGGAGCACCAATGCAACAGGGTAGCAACCAGAAGATGACGTCGCGTTTCTGGAGGATGGCGTTTGCTTCCTCCATGTCGGACGCTCTCTCCACCATAGACCGGGAGAGAGATCTGACCCCTGGAACTCTGCACTTCTCCCAACCAGTGCTATGCTGGACAGCCAAGTTCCCTCACAGTATCACTGGTATCAGGTGTTTACCGTCCGGTGAGGTGGTTGCCATGCCTCCCAGAACCAGCTACCTAGCCTTCGTGCCGTGGAAAGGTCCCCGCTACGAACAGGTCAGTAGCTTCACTGAAGAAGCTGGAGGGAGCAACTACACCGGGCTCCGGATACGATGGGAAGGAAGTAATGTGCACGTGATAGCGGACGCTATTCTCTACAGTATCTCCTCCACTGATCACGTGACTTGTTGTTCAGCTGCCAGGGATGGCCGGGTGTTCGTTATAGGGTACAGGTCCGGGCTGGTGACTGTCCAACCTCTCCAGTACGAGCAGTCCACTAAGAGTGTGAGTAACATGGGGGCTGCCAGGTACCTCACCGGTCATGTTCATCCTATCACCACTATCCAGATTAACAGGGCTTTCAGTGTGATCGTGTCGGCTGATACCAGCGGCAGAGTCATCATCTGGGATCTCAACCTCATGACTTACGTGAACTATTTCGAGACACGCCAGTCCCCTGTATCGTGTTTGAGAGTCTCTGATACTCTGGGAGATATTGTGACAGTCAGTTCATCAGGTAAAGAGAACAGGAACGTGTCGTTCCCTGGACTTCCTGGATCTGCGGAGAGCGTGTCTGAGATTTACATGCATTCTGTAAACGGTAAATTCATTGCTTGGTCACGGTGCAGTCACGTGATAACTTCTCTGGCTATTTCTGTCATGAGTGAAGGACTGTACAAGAACGTTATTGCTACAGGCTTCCAAAACGGCAATATCTGGCTGTGGAACACGTGGAATCTCCAGGTGGTCTCAGATATTCAGACTAACTTTACATCTCCTATTCTATCCCTGGAGTTCTCTCATGATTCTTATAGTTTAGCAGCAGGGTCAGAGGAGGGACGCCTCATGGTGTGGACTCAAACTCATCCTGCCAATAATTGACGTGGTTACTCATCTGGTTACTTATTGTTCACTGTGAGATTACTTATTGTTCACTGTGCGGTTACTGCGTGGACACTGATTAGTCATCATTGAACAGAACAAACTTTTTGGAGGAAATTAAGATAATCTATTTGTTGAATGTTGATAAAAATGTTGAGGTAAAATCATTATCAAAGTCTGAAGACGTTTTATTAACCGCCTCGTAAGACGGAGAGTTTATTGTTTTAATGAAAAGTCGGATAATTAAAGATAAAGATCTATCTTCTGACGGAGTTTACAGTTTGTATAAAATAAATGTTGTTTTTGTGTCATGACATTGGTGTGTATCGTGCGGGCCGCGAACTCAAAAACGAATATTAATCACGATGGCTACAAGTGCTATCACATGAATGTATTTATTATTTAATTTTTGATTAATTTTATTGTTGTATATTCTGTATTTGACGCAAGGCAGATTATTTCTTGCATTTGAATCGCAGTTGTTTTTTTTGTTAACACTGAACGAACTTCTTCCTTGTATTCTGCATCGTAAATTGAAATTGAATACCTAAATATTATTAGTAATTTTTCTGGTCAGATAATAATAATAACTATAAGAAGATACATTTTATTTCAAAAAATATATATAAATCGTGAACACATATTTTAATAGATAAACAAATTAATGACATAAATTAATGAAAAAATAACTCAAAATTTCTTCTTCAACTTAATAATTCTTAATTCACATAGTTAGTACGACCGGGACGGACTAATTATTGACCGATAACTTATAACTTATAGCTTAGTCATGGCCTTAAGCATCCTAGCTAAAAGTTTCCCACAACCTGTATGTTTCATTGTTCATTGGTTGATGAAACTAAATTAATGTTTTTAAATTTTCCTCAATCTTACACGTGCAGTTGCCTGTTAAAGCTTGTTTGAGATGTTGATGACGATCATTAATGAGAGCAACCTGGTCTGGTTGTACGGACACGTTTCATAGTAAAGCAGTAACGTACCCTTTCCATGAGGCATGAAATTGAGAACTATCGATAATTGAAATTCTCTATCAGTATCAATATCGGTATAATTATTAACCAAGTCATTATAGGTCGCGGCTAAAAAACTGGTAGTATAATTATATTAGCACTGTTATCAATATATCAGTAGACAGCTGTAGTCGTAGACAGTGGCATATTTTCTGTCCAAGGTCTTGTGACTCTCGTGAAATAGATATCACATAAATTGTTCACTTCCCAATGATCCGATTCAGACATAGGGCCGAAACAATCGGTAGATCGTGATCAAGGGATTATCTTTATTCGAGGGATTATCTGTGTTCTGGTGTAGGGTCCCCTCATAACGCGTACAGGACTTTCTGCATACTGCTCGTGATCTGAGAAGAGAAATATAATTATCAAATCTATACTTTCAGAGACCAAGTTCAAAGCCAGAGACCAAGTTCAAAGCGCGGCACTCGGCTACCATGTAAAGATGTAACGAGCGAGCCTAAGGCTTATGGTAGTCGGGTGCCACGCACGAGCGATATGACTTATCACTCGGTTGACCGAGCGGTAAAGTTGTACTTATCGCTCGTTAAACGCGTTCGCGTCGTCACTTCTAGCACAGTTGCGCCGTGCGCGTCGTATCGTACTCGATGCTAGCCAAATAAAAGAGCCAAATAAAAGAGCTTTAATACTTTGGTTTCGGCGTGTTACATCTTAGGTTAATCTTACTTACGGCCTTTTTGCCTGATAAAAATTTACAAACTTTCCAAAGTTACTCCATGGAATATGGATAAAGTGTACATTTGATTGGAAGTCTACTGTCTACAAACACTTTACTGTAGGTGGTAATCCTGCGCGGTCGATCGCTTATTTCGAGACGTAATACAGCTTAAAAGTTGAAGACAAGTTCAATCAAATGGATCTTTAGACACTTATTCATCTTTCGTGCAATTATCTTGAAGTAAAGTTTTTTAGAATGGAAATACTTTTAGCTTTACTGATGGAAAGTTTCACGATGTTCTAGAGTCAACGTCATCCATTTAAGTGACAAAAGGACGCTACATGTCACAGAATGACTTGATTTTCCGTTAAAAGTAGCCATTAGGTAACTTCATGGCCTTAGCAATGTTTATTTCGTGTTGGAAGTAAATTATAAGCTCTCTGTGGAATTTGGCTAAACGTGGTATTGACGAAATTTACGAAATTACGTATAAATTGACAAAATGGCGACAAAATGGCGTACAAGGTCAACATTTGTAACTGAAACGAAACAGCGCGCCAAACAAGGTAGACTGACTCGAACATTTCTCACGTGCGAGAGCTCTACTGCGCGTTCCACAGACTCTCTGGCGCCATTTCACCGAAACTGCAGTTGTTTTGCGACGTTTGTAGCTCGAGTTATAGTTCAAAATGTTTGCGAGTAGGCGTGTTTCTGACTTGACTTATATTATTGCGTTTATCAAATACACGGATATTTGTAAACTTATCATACTTTATGCTATCGTTTGGAAAAGTTATTTGTACATAGATTCCAGAAATTTTCATGATTGCATCATTTTATTACAATTTATCATGAGCTTTTGAAAACAGTCCGACGCTGAGCCCAAATTTCAGCAAAATAACGCCGTTTTTTCGTAACACTTTTTTTGATTCAAGGCCGTTTTAAAATCACGATATTCCAACAATGCAAGTTTTCCCAGAATTATGGCCGTGTGTTCTGATCTCATCATCGTTAGAACTATACCATGATACCAAAAATTTATAAATCCGAGAAACAAAATAATTATTGATTATCACCTATTTACTGGGCCGCGCTCAGCCTGTCATTCCGCCAAATCTTTATTGTTAATGAACATAATAGCCTGGGGTCCTCAGGTAACAAACACTCAGTCCACAATTGTATCACGTGGTGACCCCCACTGTCGCTTCACTGTAGAGTTTCGGCGATACAGGGGGAGCCGCGCACTCGTGCGCGGCGGGTCATACAACGTATGACAAGTCCACAATACCAAACACATGGACATGCCTTCAAAAGATTTTCAGAACTGCACAATCAGGAAGAACCAGAAATCAGTAGGAGAGAGACGTTATCGAGAGAGAGAGACCAGACAGAATTAAAAGTCGGCAGGAGGGATAAGTTACAGAGACAAAAGAATTATGCTCAAAAAACTAAATATCTTCGGCTTAATGTAATATTTGTCGCTTAAACTCAGAGACCAGGGAGCAATAGTAGACAATCAAAACTGGTTGACCTGGCAGCATTAAACGTCGGCAGGGGAGAGACGTTATCGAAACAGGAGCAGAAGAGAGTTAGAACAGAGAGAAAGGTGACTGGGTCTGTTGCATTGATATTTATTATTTTATGATTTCGTATATACTTTGGAGGAGATGGAGGGTGAACTAAGGAATTTCCGTTCAGCTTTAGAATGCAGGATAAGATTGATAAGGTGCGGCCAGAACAAGTTATATTAGCACAGTTACAAACGCCCGCCCAGTTAGCTCTAACAGTGGCATCCAAGCGAACATGCACGAGATTAATCCTATTATTAAGTTTGAACGTGTAGAGTTTAGAAACGAGGTGACCTTTCTAACAGCCCAATGAAGCCCATAAATAGTTCAGTAGCTTGTCCACATCTGCCATGAGGTACCGGGCCTCATGGTTTTGCCAGGTGATTTAAGGAGCATTTGATTCTGTGCGGGCATAGCGGAGGATCTGATGTTAGCTCATTTATTGTCTTACATTCGTTGCGAATCTATCTGCAGGATAGGCTGCAAAATATCTTTCTCAGCCCGGACGAGATTTTTTTAATTAAAAAAAAAGTTTTTTAAGAGAGGCTGGGCCTGGATGGCCCACGAGAGGATAGCATGTGGATGCTTTGCCTACCAGTACCTACTACTGGAACTTTAGTTTTTCTGGAACTCCCATCAGATGGCTAACATGGCCGCTGTCAGGATAGGTCACATGCACAGCCCACTAGTTTCTGTTTACTTTCAGAACGTGGCGAACAACGTCAACTTCGCGAAGTTATTAACTTGTTATCAAAACGTATCGCGCGAAAATGTTTTTGTAGACGCGCATGTGACATTACGAGTGCAGAGCTCGCACTGGGCGAGACGCAAGATTGTGAACACTTTTCATGAGAAGCAGAAACATCCCAGCAACTCCTCTGTAACTGCAAGTGCATCCAGATCATGACGCTCGCGCTCAGAATGAGGATAAATGGTAAACCCCTAGGCCTACGGAGGATCTTAACAACAGTAAACTCATCCATATCTTCAAATTTGTGGAACAGTCGACAAGACTGGATAGGGAAAACTCTTTTGGGTAACCTCCTTGGATTCTTCACCAGGAACTTTCGCTAAATCCCACACTAGGAACTCAACCTGGGCCCATCTCCGCATAGAGACATATCTCCCAGGCTTTGACCTTGCTCGGAAGTCCCTTGTCTGCCCGCAGAAGTACTACAACGGAAGTGGGTTTGCTCTGAGCCAGGTAGCGACAGCTTCAAGACTCCAGGGGTCTGTTGCGTTGATATTTATTATTTTATGATTTCGTATATACTTTCGGAGTCCTAGCGTGCAGCTAGCAGGAGTTGCATTCTGTGGGCGCGGCGATAATACCTCCTTCTTAAAGTAGGAGGCCAGAAACCGTTGACCAGAACAGAGAGAGAAAGAGAGCTTTGCCTACCTCTGGGGTATGGCAGTCCTATGGAAGATGCCGGGGGAATCAGAATGTGTAATGTAGGATGATGGTAAGTGTTGTAAGATGTGTCGTGTATGAACGCTTAAGTGGCAACTGGGTGTGGAAGAGAAAGGTGAACTAAGACGATGTGTGAGTAATCGCTATGTCACACCAGTCTGGTCCAGCTCCTCCGGCACAATTAAGCGTTTGGTGCGGTTTGCGAAGTTGACAATAGTGGAGATGTGTTGGTTGTCGAATACCTTATCGGACCTTATTTGGACGGACATTAAATGAACGGACATAATTATGAACGGACATTAATATGAACGCTAGAAGGCATTCAAAACCATAAAAAATCCGAATTGTTTTCATTTCTTTTGACGTTTTTTTATATACCGTGACCGTCAGGCCCTCAGCAAATGACGATAGGATCAGGATGAAGTCACCATAGGGAAGGGTACTGTTCTGCAACTTGGCAACAACACTATAAAACATGTAAAATCAGTCCAAAAATTGATCGTGTCACGTATCTTCAAGTTTTAATTGACCGATAAAATAACTAAAAACGGTCAAACACAATGTGCCGTATTATTGGCCATGGCAAGGCGCCCGATAGGCGTCTGATAGGCGCCCGATAGGCGCCCGATAGGCGTCCGATAGGCGCCCGATAGGCGTCCAATAGGCGCCCGATAGGCCATGGTTCCGCTCGAATGACCCCATTTTTATACAATAGCATATGATATAACTATTATAAGCATCTCAATACTCAAAACTCAATATATTACATTGCAGCAGCCGACCGCAATACAGAACAGTTTTAAGTTCAACGTACAATTTTTATTTTTATATTTTATTGTTACGAAAACCTACTTAACTATTTATTGTTAGTTTACTAAAAGTAAAACCTTTTACAACGGTAACCTTATCTCAATACTCATTACTCAATATATTACATTTCAGAAGCCGACCGCAGTCGAAAAATTTATTATCAAATTTACTTACTTAGTTTTATCATTTGTTGCTAGTTGCTACTATATACTAGCGGGTTCAAAGGAAAATAGACGGCGCGGAACTTGTTGACATTTTGATCTTAGAAAAATATTTTATTACTCTTCTATAGATGTGGATACTGGCGGGGAGGTGAAACACATTTGTTTACGTTTTAAGTGGCGCCTCTATTCAGTAGGTTGAAGAGGTGATACACATTTGTTTACTCTTGAGTGGCGCCTCTATTCAGCAGGTTGAAGAGGTGATACATATTTTGTATTATAGAAGGCTTGTAACACTTGTAACTCCTTCTTGTTACCCCCCTTTGAAGGTCCCGAATTATTTTCTGAACGAAAGCTCAAAAATAACCGAGAAATCGACCTTCGTATTAACTCATTTTGATGACTGTTTCTGACCTGAAATTGCACGAAAAATCGATTTAACTAGGTTTCAGAACCTATAAACACTTCCTTATCCCTCAACATTGATGTTTTATAGTTAATAATAATACGAGCAACAAGCAACATATATTTTGATCCTTCGTTTCTACTCATAACCTAGGGAGTTAAGCTGAAACCGAAAGATCGAGGCAATCCTCACCTTAACTGATCAAACTGGTACTAACACAATTTTCAGATAGAAATGTTCTTTGCGATACGTTTATTGCAGCTTTGCAACTTGAGTGAAGACCAGAGTACGAAAACACACAGCAGGTAAGCA